GCAGAAATATTTATCCTTTCTAAAATCAAAGTGTATTACTCTAGAATTTTGACCAGGAGGGGACAAGTACCTAGGATCGCCTATCCAACCACTTACCTACTGCAAGCTAAATTTTCATCTGATGCCACAGGGTAATTATTTTGATAGCAAAATATCATTTCTATAGAGCTACAAGAATTTAGTTGTATTACTAAGTGAATATCCTTTTATGACAGAAAGGTCAATTCAGAGGTACCTAAATCTGACCGGAGATTTTAAATTCTAATCGATTTTGCCCTCTGACGGAGGACAGAAGTCTGAGCAGTTAGTTGTATGTGGTTTATGTGGAGACAATGTGTTCTAAGTTGCTTTATCTGTAGGAGTTCGTATTTCTTTTTCGTTTTTAGGAGTTCATATTTCAAAGGGAAAAGTCATTCTGAAGGTACAGAAAAAAGAAAAGGAAAAAAAGCAGGTCCATGCCACAGCCTCAGGGTTGTACACAAAAAGGCACCTGCTTAGAAACTGCAGCATTATTTGATGAGGTATTTTATTAAGCCACATCACGAAGGTTAAGGTTTTTAACAAAGATATGCTTCGAGTCTTTTAAGGTATTATTGACTAATCTGATCAAATACAAGAAACTTTTCACACAAGTTATAAATCTCTTTATTTGGAGGTTGTAGACAAGGTGTTCCGGTGAATGCCACCAGTATACCTGCATTGCTGGTCTAAAAGTAGCAGAAGAATCTCTGAACTGTCCACATTTCAGCCACTCGCGCACCGGCGTAGCTGAGGGAGAGCTCACACATATACTGACTGGTGCCTGGTCCTTATCACTGTAACGGACACCTAACACTTCTCAGTCACCAATGTGTCCTGAATGGGAGATTTATCTCCCAGTAAGATGAGCATCCCTTTGAAGCCCTAACCCATCTTGAATTTCCTAACAGCTCACATCACAATATGCAGGGAAAAATAATACCTAGCACTACTGATTCACTTCCTGCCTTGCGACAGAAGACACGGACTCGGGTACCTGAGCACACACGTCAATTCCTCCTCGGGAGGCAATGTATGCCCAGACTGAACTAGCTAACAAAGGCCCTTTTCCTGTGATGGCTGATGTCGTGCAGAGAGCCTGAGGGGCCAGCCCAGGAAGAGACACTATTTACTCAGTGATGCTTCAGGACTTCAGTGTGCATCCTCATAGGCTTCCCTGCCGACAGCCCAGGTCCCCAAGTGCAAGGCATCACAGACAGACATTCTGTTCTCATACATACATTAACACGATATTCTTCCCAGTGACTGCTTCCCAGCAAGACGGACTAGCTCAAGATAACAATGCCGGCAGTCTTCATCTGTACATTCACCTCCAGACTTCTAGACATCTAGGAAAGCCTCCAAGAATCTGATCCCTTGAAAGCCTCCAGGAGATAAGGTGACATCAGGTCCCAGTGTCTCCAGATTTATTTAAAGGGGAAATGATACCAGGCAAATTTACAAAGGGGATTGAACAAGTTTATAGAATTAAAAGACAGTGGAATTTTTAAAAGCACTTCCCACTCCCTGTAAAGACTAAAGGAATTTAAAAAAAAGGAATAAATTCAACAAAACATGAATGCATTCTTATACACAAAGAAATTTAAAATGGGCTCACCAAGGAACAGAACATCCAAGCACAGAAAAAAAACAACCACTGAAGAAAGTGAAATAATCAGAATTACCCACTACCTAGAAACAAGACCCTTCTCCCTTTATCTGTAATAACATGAAAAACAAAAACCAAATTTGTTGTCTAAAGTGACAAAAGGTGCAGAACTTAAAAAAAATTTTAGCATGATGTTATTTTGTAAAATGTATGTATACATACGAAAGGCACATGCTCTCAGGGAAAATTTCAGGAAAATTCAGCTATCAAACTGGTTAGGGTAAGAGCGAGATAGCTCGTAAGATGGTCTATATGCTTCAAAAATCTTACCAGATCACTTTTATTAAAAAAAAAAAAGGTGGGGTGAGGTGGGATAAAAACACAACTTAATGATATCTAATAAAGCTGACATTTAAAAGAACACTGAGCAGAATTAGAATGTCGCTCTCTTCCCTACTCCAAGCAAAGCGCCGGCAAGGTCCAGAGAACGGGCTAGGCTGAGTCACACGGAGCGGCCAATTTCCGCTTTGCCTTCTGCATGGAACCTGCACTGTCAGCGGGGAGTGGGCAGTCAGGGTTAGATCTGCGAGGAGCTCAGCGCAGCCGTGCCCTGTGGTCCGGAGACTGCTTCCTAACACACAGAGACATGCTCGGCTTCCTCGAGTCCTTCATCAGGCTGCCTGCCCTTACTCAAAGCAGCTCCGTGGGCGGCAAGGCCAGAGGCACAGAGAGAGGGGACAGTGCAGTGCATCTTGGCTCGCATCGTTCCTTCAAAGCAAACACTGTAACTGACTGTGGTCACGGGGTGAACCTGGGACAGTGCCTTTTACAGAATCACATGTAGGTAACAGTCACGGGCTGCCTCAGATTTCCCAAGCCATATATTCTCTCCCACATACTGAACAGTGCAGGGCATAAGAGACAATCCTGCTGTCTAAAACACAGGTTCCCAATCTTATTGGGCCTACTACCCCATGTGCGCGCGCACACACACACACACACACACACACACACGCTAGTATTGCTGCTGACTTTGGGGAACAATGGTCTAAAACAACCATCACTTTTGAAAACAGACATAGAGGGAGAAGGGTGCACATAGTCTAACTTCCTTAACTTTTAATAACTTTAAATCTGAAAAGTACAAATCAGGATTTTCACTGCCAACAGAAGAGGTTTAAGAGAAATCCCCACATCACACGTATTGGCAAAACCTGGATCTAGAACAAATCTATGAAAACACAGGGGAAAAACATACAAAACAACATCTAAAAAATAAGAGTTTATGGGAAGATAAGACATAATGGCTAACCTGCTGCAAAACTGGGAAAAAACATACAAAACAACATCTAAAAAACAATAGTTTATGGGAAGATAAGACATAATGGTCAACCCGCTGCAAAACTGGGAGAAAAAGGCATGGCCATAGGCCTCAGAGCTCTGGGAAAACTGGTAGTCAGCAGTTGGCCCATGTGTGCTGTGAGCAGAACCATTGGGTCGGGCTCTGCAGGCACTGGGGGACCGCCCTGCCTGTGAGACTTCATGTGTCGGGAAGTCAGAAACATTTCTCTACCGAGATACTGTTAATTTCATCTTCCTGCACTCTGTGCAGTTTTCTGTGTTTGTTTGGTGACTATAGCTGCGGGGGTGGGGGGGTGGAGGACAAACAAGCAGAAAACATGGCCAGACACCAGCAGGTAGCAGCTAATGATGGACACTTTGATTGGAATGATCCAGCACATCAGATCAGCCTCTGAGGCTAAGGTCTCAGAAATAAGGGAGTGCCTACAATGGTACAGCTGGGCTTCCGTAGGTATCAGGCTGCCAAACACAGGAACGAGGGGCACAATAAACTGCCACCTTGCTTTGAACGCTCCTCAGGCTCAGATTCATAAGGTCCAAACCGATGGCCATGATTCCACTGACCCACAGCAACCCTACGCAGGGTTCCTGAAAAGACGGCCTCATCTTTCACTTTTGGAGCTGCTGGTGGGTTTGAACCATCATCTGTGTGGTCATAGGCTGCTTACCCAACAGCACCACCGTGGTAAAGGAGGAGCAGACATTTCCGTGGGGTGCACACCTGATGGTGAGGGAAACCAAAACAACTGAAGACAATCTGGGTGAATTAATTAAAAATGAAAAGAATACATATATATATATTCTTCATGAAGACTGTAGGAGCTTTCCTTTGCCAGCTTGGAGTTGCCTCAGGTTGCTGGAACCTGGTGCACCTCAGCCACTAACTCTTCCAGCCAGCAGACACCACAGCCTGCGGTCTCATTGGTGTTCAGTGTTACCCCAGGCACTTGCGGCCGGCTCGGCTCGTTGTCAGCCAGCTCCACGAGAGCTTTGCTCTGCATCCCCAAGTGGCAGAGAGCGCAGGCTCTGGGCAAAGACGACACGCGCCAAGAACCAGGTCTCGGCATGACTGAGTCAAGGTGGCTGTCCAAGGCTCCTTTCCTGGTCAGGAAAATGGGCTGTTGTGACAGGCTTAGCACACAGTGCTGTCAACATAAACCTGCCCAGATTGTCTGTTTCCCACAGCATCTATGTTCAACCTCGGTGAAAAAAACCAAATGACTGAGACGTGTGCGCTCCTTTATTTGTAACACTCAAGTAGGTAGATCTGCATCTCTCTCTCTCTCTACATACACACACACACACACACACACAAAACCCCACAATACACAATTATATCGAAATGTTTACAAAAAGGTGAACCGTCGTGATGAGAGACGTGAAAAACACTGGTAAACAGTAAATTATTATACTGAGTTATCAATTTGATTGTCTTTTAAGCTTATGATATGGGTTTATTTTATATAAGGCATTTAAAGTAAAAAGGTAGCACAATTTGCATCACGAACCTGCTACACCTGAGCACTTTGGGTGATAGGGACTACATGCTAACAGTGCAGAGAGACGGAGGCAATCCTCAAATGGCCCATCGGGGCACCCAAACAAACAGTCCACCGCGGCCACTTGAAGCAAATCACTCTCTTCAGTTCACTGTAGCTCACTTAGGGAACACTTACGTAAAGGGGACTTGTTTAAACAGATTTCTCTGCACAAAAGCAAACCAAAGTGAAGCAAAACCACACAACTAGTGGCTATTTACTTTGCACTCAGGTAAAAGCTGAGAGATTTAAAGTAAGGGCATTTTCTACTTCCCTGGCTCTGGTAAAATCTACAACACGGCAGATATGAACATCCAGGCAGGAAATGAAGCCCACAGTGGGGTGAGGGGACTGCAAAGGAGCAGTGACTGAAGGACAGAATACTCATTTTGAAAAACAATTTTTAATGAGCAAGATTTTAGTGAACGAGTATTTGCATGCCAAAAGGAGTACAGAGTGTAAACACACAGTCCTCACAGAGACCTCCCTCAGGCTGGGGTGTGCTGAGCATAGTAACAGGCGGGGGGCTAAGATAACACCATGGTCAAATTGGAAAGGTAGATGGTATTTCAAAAGCCAATTATAGAAGTCTTGTGTTTTATAACAAATAGACTATAGTCATGTTTCGTAAAATACTATCTTACAGTATGCAAAGTCTGGTGACAATATTAGATCACATCTTCGGCAACCATTGTATCAAAAATCTGATAGCAAACTTTCTCCTCTGTTGCATTTGTGACATTATATGACTTGATGAGACATTCCAGCCATGGATACGCATCTACAAAGCACAAAGAAGAGGTTATTCAACCCACTGAGATGAAACACGTGCCTCTGATATCTGTAGCCAAGCTCACAACTTAGCTAGAAAAATGAACATGTATTCAATCGAGGCTGCATAGTAAAGCACACTTAGGAAATGTAGCATCAATCCACTTCTGAATGTACATCGATTCATGTGATGGTTTTGCAGCAATCGTGATCAATTTGATTTTTTTCCCCCTCAACAACAGCTAAGAGCTTAAATCTAGAGTTTTCAAACTGTTCGGCAGCAAAGGTCTTAGGTTTTCTGACGCTTAACTTAGTCCTTTGTTAAAAATCAAACGTCACTGACTCTTTATTGACTATCCCTGGTCTTTCTCTGATTAACTGAACAGAAACGGAACATGAATTTCAAATGACTTCAAGCCCTTATAATATTTATTTGGATGAAATTCTGTCAGGTACAAGGTTCTGAGCTCAGGGAACAATGGAAACAGATCTCATTTCTAAGCTTTGGTTATGACCCTAGTAAATCTACTTTAACTTCTAGAAACCTTAAAACAAATCTAAATGTTCAGCAACAAGAAATTCGTTTTAAAAAAAATCACCCCATTGGGGAAGGGAGTGGTGAGCAAACAACCTCATAGACAGGGAACAACTAGGGAATTAAAATCAACAACAAGGATGCAGAGATTCTGGGAGGGTAGAGCAACATCTGTCTAGCTGAGAGGAATTACTAAGAGGCTGACGTAGGTTGAGCGTGATGGTGGGCAGAAGGTTAAAGGAAATAGAGGGACGATCTAGGAAGCAAAGATATGGATAGAGGTATAAGCATAGGTGTTGTACATATGTTAATACATTAATTCATTAAAATAGAGGTTATTGGCCCATGTACATAAATTTATATGGCAACACACCGAGGTTGTGAACGAATTTCGGGCCTTTGCTCATGCCCTCCCTCGATGCAAGAACACTTTGTTCTAATAATCTGGCATTCTGTGATGCTCACCCTCCCAGCACAATCACTGAAGACAAAATGGGTGCATAAGCAAATGTGGTGAGGAAAGCCGATGGTGCCCAGCTTTCAAAAGCTATAACATCTGGGGTCTTAAAAGCTTGAAGTTAAACAAGCAACAAACCCACATGGAAGAAGCACACCACCCTGTGCAATCGTGAGGTTTCACCAGGACTGGGTAACAGGCACCAGAAGACTCAGAACATACAAACAAAAAGCCATATTGTTGAGAACGAGGGGGGCTGAAGCAGAGAACCAAAGTCCATCTGTAGATAATGGGACATCCCCTCACAGAGGGGATCACAGGGAAGGGATAAGTCAACCTGGGCGCAGTAAAGTACTGATGAAACTCACAATATTTCTCTGGTTCTCTGAGGCTCCCTCACCTCCCACTATCACTTCGGACAGTGCTCTTCTCACTTCGGGAGCATGTACACAGATACAGGTCACACAGAATCCAGGAATAGGAATGGGAGTAGCGATACCAGGAAGGGGTGAGACAGGGAGGAAGGAGGAACCAATCTTGACCATCGACACATAACCTCACCCCCCAACCCAAGTGGGATGAACAGAAACCGCGGGGGATGAGAGACAGCAGTCGGTGTAAGATATGAAAATAATAATAACTTATAATTTTTCTAGGGGCCATGAAGGTGGGGAGAAGGGGGAAGGAAGAGGGGCTGACATCAGGGCTCAATAGAAAGTAAATGTTTAGAAAATAATGATGGCAGCACATGTACAAATATGCTTGACACACTGATGTATGGATTGTTACAAGAACTATAAGAGCACTCAATAAAATGTTAAAAAAAATTTACCTCACTAGTATTTTACTCACTAGTATTTTTTTCTCTCAGCAAAACAGCCAACAAAAATTAAAACTGACAACAAATAAAGGTGCACACTTTAAGCTTTGCTATAAACTAAAGCTCCCACTTTTTCATTATTATAAAATGCTAAACTTGACCAAGAGACAGAATAAAGTTTAATAGACTATACATAACCTGTAAAAGTTATACAGAATATCCATAACCTGTAAAAGTTAAACCAACACTGACTAAATCTGAACTGCTGAAATCCTTTAAAGATGAAAAGTTGTTAAAAGATTCAACTCATTTTATTATAATTGAGATCTGCAAGTTTCAACTTAAATAGAAATAAATACTAGCCACAGAGGAAATTTATAAAAGTACATATAACTAGTATAATTTCACCTGCAGACATACCTACTTCTTTCTCACTTATCAACTATCTCCTTTTCCGACATCTTGCATTTATGATAATAGTAATAAAATCTACTCTCCCACTCTTTGGCACATTAACAAGGAGCCAAGGGAAGAAGGGAAGGGAGGAGGAAGAGGGCGAGGCTCATGAGCAGGAGTGCAGCTGCCCGGGCCATCAGCATCTGTTTCCCGGGTACAGTTAGGTGGAGGAGCTAAGCCAGGCAGCTGGCACAGGAGGGAAGGGTGACCAGGCCACAGGAGCTGAGTCGGGGGCTTGGACGACTCTTTCAAAGAGGTAGCTCTGGGTGGTTGGGCCTCACCTGCCTGAAGGCCTGGAGCTGCCTGCTGCAGAGGCATCTCAGGGCTAGCCAGGGGGAAGGTGGAGAAAAGAGGTGCTAGGGTCCATGGGGAGGCCTGGAGCCTGCCCAAGCAATGGTGGGCCTCTGGAGGTGGCAGGCTCTCTGGTGGTGGGAAGCCTTGGTAGGGAATGGGGACCCAAATGTGCCCTGAGTATCTGAAATGAGTGTTGAGTGCCAGGGGTGGGAACACCTACACTAAAGACAGAGCAATGGCCTCCACTTTTGCACAAGGTCAATGTTGTATAACGACCTGGTTTTTGGAACTGACCAAGACAAAAATCAAGGAGTAGGCATATATGGTTGACAAGTCAATTGCTTACATTATACAGAAAACTAAAGCAGACTAAAATAATTAGTAAATAAAAACATGTAAAATTTGAAAATCGTTAATATGAAAGGAAATTCATCATTGAATTAAATTGGCTAAACGGAGTTTATAGAAAATGTTGCTTGCCAGTTTCTATAGACAATACGGTTGCTATGTGTCAGCATTGAAGTTATTGGGGTAACTTCAATGAAAACATCCGTATGCATAAACAAAGTGTTCAAAGAACTTGTGATGAAAACTACTTGCTGTTATACTTCTCAATATTTAAATATATATATATATACAATTATCACTAGTAATTCATCTTCCACTTTCAAAATATTCATATTTTGAAAAATCTAAAGATTGGATATGAGAAGGCTTCAAAATATTTGTGGAAAAAATTCCATTATCTTTTAATTCCATTTTTCTATGTATCGTATATGCTCGAGTATAAGCTAACCTGAATATCAGCCTAGGAACCTAATTTTACCACAGAAATTGCATTAAAAATGTGCTGAAAAACTCGGCTTATATGCGAGTATATACGGTACTTTCTGACAATGCTCTCCCATATGCTAGTGCTATTTAAGGAAAAAACAAGAGTATAATTAAAATACTATAACATACCAATTTTTACTCCTGGAGGACATAACATATCCATGATCAGATCCATATTCCTTTGAAGGTCATCATTGATTAGGATTTCTGATGCTGGAATCTGGAAGAATTTGTCCTACAACAATAAAATTAAGCACATTACAGAGAGAGAGAAAATGGAAATAATATTGCTTTAATGTTATAATTTAAATAGCATTTCAATATTCTCTAATTACTATACTCTAATTATTTTACTCTATCAAGATTATAAAATTTATAAACTTAGAATGCTCAGAGGACTATGAATTACGATTTACTAGTTTTAACTACAAGCAGTGTTGAGGTAAATTAAAGTTAAATTTCTTTGACTTGATAAAAATAGCAATAAAAACCAGTGAGCTTGCCTAGTCTCTGCTTATAAAAAAAAATTGCGTAATGAGTTTAAAGAACATAATATACAATATGCATTTATTTAATATTTTACATCCTCTATTAGATTTTGAGCTTTAGGACATAAGCAATGCTGCTTGCTTTGCTCATTGCTGTACCCCATGATGTACAGTAGCACGTGCGACAAAGGAACATAGCAGTTTGTTCATTGAATATTTATTTAATAATTGGGTAACTAATTGGGGAGGCAGGAGTAACACTCTCATCTTAACCATATTGAGAAGATGGATTCAGGAACACTCCTAACACTGCCCAAAGAGGTCTGGTCTTTGTCCTTGTGTTCTAAGCCTTTTCAAGAGACCTTGGCTACACCTGAGAGCCTAACACAGTGATTCAACCTGACCCCCCAAAGCACTGGAGGCTGAGAACTGGCCTCTGGGCAATTCAACTCTGACTAATGCAAACTCTGGACACCAAGGTTTGGTGAGCATCTCTTGTAGGCCACACTCCCTGGGTATTAAAAGATGCTCTTGCCTGTGCTAATGTGTCAGAGGGGAGACTTGTAGACTAACCATTCACACCACACTATAGGTATGAGCTTCTCTATTAAAGCAAATATTTCCCTCTAATATGAACTATAATTGAAAAGAAAAAAAAGCCAATGAAATGCTATACATACACAATGTCTATATGGTAAGGCCATGCCTCTCCCTTCTGGTCCCTGGAACAGAACTTCTTCCTGGCATGGAAGTTGACTCTCCTTAAATATCTACTCTTCAAGTTTTAAATATTTAATTTTATATTTAAAATGTCAAACCAGAAGAGAGAGATGTAATCTTATTTAATTACTCTTTTTAAGTTCCCTTAGGAGCCCTGGTGACACAGTGGGCTGCTAACCACAATGTCAGTGGCTCAAAACCACAAGCTGCTTCTTGGGAGAAAGATGAGGCTTTCTAATCCCAGAAATAGTTACACTCTTGATAACTCGACAGGGGCAGTTCTATTCTGTCCTATAGGGTTGCTATGAGTCAGAATTGACATCATGGCAGTGAGGCTGGTTTTGTTTTGTTTAAGTTGAAATCCTTTCAGGAATAATATAAACCTAGCCCAAACTCACTGCTATCAAGGTCATTCTGACTCAGAGAGATCCTAAAAGACAGAATTAGAAATGTTCCTTTGAGTTTCTGAAACTGTAAATCTTTACAGGATTAAACAGCCTCATCTTTCCCCACAGATCATCTAGCTAGTGGATCGGAACCATTGAACTTGCGAGACATGCGATCAGAGCCTAACACTGAACTCAATATGCTACGAGGACTTTTTGTTATACTCTAAATATGAATAACTAAAACCCATAGCAACAATGATGATTCTGGCTCAGAGTGATCCTATAAAAGGATTTTCTGGGGCTATAAATCTTTGAAAGATCTGAGAGCTTGAATTTCCTCTCATGGAGGGGCTGGGGGGTTTGAACAGCCAACCTAGTGGTTAACAGTCCCAACGGTTACCAACCAGTACCAAGGTATGAATGTTTAAAAGATAGTATCTAGTTGTCAACTAATTATCTTCACTTTGGTACTTACAGAATCCATAAGATAAGCATCCAGAACTCCTGTTCCATCATCAAGTGTAAAGGTCATAACATACACATGTTGGAGAGGTACGATACCTAGTACTAGGGATGGAGAGAAAGATCAAACCATGTGTGGTAGTTATATAATCTGGGGTCAATTTGAGGATTAAGAGTGAAGGGGTGGAGTCTAGTCTGTCAATCGGGTCATAGCCAATCAGGCCTCTGTGTGGGCATGGCATTCCCCTGAGGATTCTGGGAATTCCTGTATTTCCTCCTTGGAGGCGGAAAAACACTCTCAGATCACTTTCTGAGAGACATTCTACTGACAAGACACATGGCGCTACTCTGATAGACCCCGTGATCTGGGAACGGAGGAGCCATGTGGAGACCCCTGCCAGTACTGAGATGCTTACACCGCCACTGGATCCACAAGACTTTGCTCCCACTGGCCTGTAATCTTCCTGCATTCAGCATCATTGCACGTGTTTCGTAAGTCTGAAGAGGTCTTTATAGATCGGAAGTAGACATAACAATCGGACTTAAGGACTTGATCTGGGCTGGGCTGGGATGTTTTCCCAATATTCAACTGCTCTTGTATATAAAGCTTTTTCTTATACACGAGTGTCCTATGAATTTGTTTCACTAGTCTATCCAGACTAACACACCATGTGAGTCTGTATTTCTTTTATTCAATGTACAACAAAAATAAACTAAACAAACTCACTGCCATCGATTCTGACTCATAATGACCCCAAAGGGCAGGGTACAACTGCTTTTGTGGGTTTCCGAGATGGAAAGTCTTTATGGGAGTAGAAAGCCTCATCTTTCTCCCAAACAGTAAAAACAGCACATGTTAATCTGACTGCTAAAACAAATCATGAGAAAGAAAAACTTACATGTAAACATATATGCATACATACATATATATTAAAGATTTTGCAGATTCACTTTTGAACACCACACTATGCCTTTACAGTGGCAAGCTTCATAATATAAACAATTGTTTTAAATTAAATTTTAGTATTTCTTCACAATGAAATGATGTCATGATAAAAGCCCTAAAATCTGGTTTTATAATATGCAAATTCATTCCTTGCCAGTTTTGTAGGGGTGGCTGTTTGCAGAATTAAAGACTCAGTGAAGGTTTGAGAGCTATCTTCAAACACTTAGTCGGTCTATGTACACAAGGGGGAACAGACTATCTCTGAGTAATTTTAGTAGACAAAACTTGGCCCAAGCTAAAGTTACAGGTAGGGAGATTCAGCTTCATATTAAGAATTTTCCAACCACTGAGGGGACATGCTGCTGTGCACCTGCCATAGGATCCTATCCTGGAAAGGCAAACGGGGTGCAATGGTTACGTGCTCTGCTGCTAGCAGCAAGGACAGGCTCAGAACTCCCGGTGACCTGCTCCCATAAAAATCACAGCCAGCCTAACGAGCCCTTGGTCTTGTCTCCTGTCACCGAGGGTCGCTGCGCCTCAGAGCTGACTCGGCAGGAAACAGTAGCAGCTGTCACTGGAGGTGCTTCAAACAGAAGTTAGGAGAGCACAGCCAAGAAGGTGCCATACCAAGGTTTCCACTGCTCGAAGTGAAGACCTGAATTAGGTACAAAGCCGTAATTGCTTTCTCTAAGCTCCTTTTCAATCTCAAGATATTATGAACTAGAGAGAATCTGTAGGTATGATTAAAAATACTGGCATATGATTGAAAGTAGTTTGCTTGCATTTTAAACATTTGCTCTACCGCTCTATGACAATTACTGCGGATGATATTAGTTCAGGAAGTTTAGCTCTAGCTCATCCTCTGCTTGGGCTTACTAGGCTCAGGAATATGAAAGGACTCCAAAGAGTTTGTGCAAAACTGGAATTATAAGGTAAGGGAGTTTTTCCATGAACTTTTTTGAAGCCCCGTTTTCAGTTAAAATTGCAGGATATAAAACTTCTGCTTACCTTCTGCTACAGAAGAAGGAGCCCATGATGTTTTATCAGCCAAGCAATTTAAACTTTGTATTGGTCTCAAACTGGAACACTGTTTACATCTACAATAAATAAAAGAAAGAAAAAAACCAAGAGAATTTATTAAAGTTAATCTATTTTATAAAATGTTATTGAGCTATATATAATTCACACATCATACAATTCAATTATATTAAGATCATCACCACAATCAACTTTAGAACAAAGGCCATTTTCTCCTTTCTTGTATTCACAGTTGTTGACTCCCGTTACGACCCCTACTTCCCCTTCTATGCCCCATAAACTATTGATCCATTTGCTGTCTCTATGGATTTACCCATCCTGGATTCTTTATACAGAAAAACATACAAAGCAATGACAAAAAAACTTAAAAAGGGACCAACAGCAATGGAAAAATAAAACAGAAAAGAAATCTCAATCAAAAAGAAAGCAGGTGTAAGTGGAGAGAAAATGTTTTGAGAATGATGAGGACAATGAATGTACAAATGCGCTTTACACAATTGATGTGTGTATGGATTGTGATAAGAGTTGTATGAGCCCCTAATCAAATGATTTTTAAAAAAGAAAGCAGGATTGTGCTTGTTCAGAGTAGGGTGCATCTCAGAGGGTGTGTCATTGGAGGTCACCCTCGTGAAGTGGGGTGATGTATTTTTCCCTTTGTGGTATGTGAAATTCAGGACTGACGAACGTATAGGGGCAGCAGGTAGAATAAGGGGTGGTGGGATAAAAGGGAGATGACGCCAAGGAGTCCATGTAGAAAGAGAGTGTCTGGAAACTGACTGTCATAGCAACTGGACAATTGTACTTGACGTGTTTGAAGTATGGAACTATAGGATATACGTATTAAATACCAATGAATAAAAAACAAAATAAGGGCTCCTGAGGAGTACAGCCAGTGGTTTCAATCCACCAGTCACAGCGGGTGGGGGTCGGGGAGCTGAGGCTGTCTGCTCCTTTATATGGTCAGTGAACACACTGGAATGCTAACCAGAAGGTCAGCAGTTCAAAAATATCAGCAACTCCACAAGAGAAAGATGAGATTTGGAGTTCTACTCTGTCCTATGGGGTTTCCATGAGTCAAAATTGGCAGTGAGTTTAATTTATATGGCCACTATGAATTGGAATTGAACTAATGGCAGTGAGCTTTTCATTCCTCCATTGATAAAACTTTCATTCCACTTATATGAACTTAATACACGTTCTTAATAATTATGCTTTGATTGTTCATGACAATTTCATGAGACATTATATAAAGCGAGCTATCTTCTCAAGTTATTTCCTTGTTAACTATTTTTATAACACATGCATGTTAGGCAAGTATCGTTTTTTGTTTTTTTTTCTTTTAATCACAAAAGCAAAAAAACACCCTAAAAAACAGTTATTAAAAACATGGGTTGTTTTACTACTACACTGGATACACATGATGTAATGGATATCAAGCAATTCTTTTACTGCATCTTTACTTGTACATTTGTTCTTAGGTTGCCTAAAATATTTAAGTACAAATAAAATGAGTGTAGCAAAAATAATGAAATCAAACAGCAGGTTATGTTTCAAATAATGGCGTGTGCACCATTTTCTGCCCTTCTCCAGAGGAAACTGGGACACAACTTTGTCTAAAAGAACATTTCTGCAGCTACAGGAAAAGGTGTGCGGATTGAGAGTGTGTCTACCACAGCCTTGTTAAGTGCTCCACACCTTAACATACCACAGTGACTACACCTGTGACTGGAACCAATCATCCCTTTTACTCCCCATCAGGCCAAACACATCTACAGGCACTTTTCTTTGCTTAGACACGGAAGCAGTTTTAACTCTGGCCCTAGTGAAGCCTCAATGTACCAAAGTACTAGGCCAAACCCTTATAACTTGTATAAAAATTTCACATCCCAATATTGGCCATATCAAGATGAAAGCAAGTAACTAACTAAATGTTAACTGGCTCTACTCCCCTAATATTAAACATAAAACTGCATGGGAAATACAGAAATTAAAAGAGAAGTAACGCAACCCTGTCATAAATTGTAAACAAAAGACTATTTGTGGGACAGTATGGATGACAAATGGTCTACCGTGTAAGTTTTAGAATAGGGAAGACCAAAGCTGAAGGTGGTTAATTTCCCCCTCCTTCTGCTTCCGCTCAATCTCTTTGGGTATCCAATGTCCACAACATCGAGCTGTCTTTCTGTAACTTCATTATGAGTGTGTATGGCGCGTCACTTAATGTAGAAAGTTTATCAAAAGCATGCTTTCTCAGGGGAGCTCAGAATCTCATAGAACACAGAGAAGCTAAGGGCCAGACCCACGCTGATGGATGTGTTGGTTGCATTTCCTCTTTGCTGATTTCTTGGTATGCTTGTTGTGACTGAGCCACAATCCTTTTCTTGTCATCACCAGCAGCACCCTCAGCCAAGTAAGGGTAGTGTAGTTACATCATCTGTTGTCAGCTTGAGACTCTTATGAGTGAGTGGTGGAGGTTAGCCTGTCAGTCACCTCATTTGGAGGTGCTAAGGCGATAAATAGCTCACTCCCTGCGAGACAATCCTACTGCTCAAGACACATGGAGCTATGCTAGAGCCCTGGAGCTAGAGGAGCCACATGGAGACCCCTGCCAGCATTGAGATGTTTCCATTGCCACTGGATCCACAAGACTTTGCACCCCATTGTCTGGGATCTCCCTGTATCCGGCGTCATTCCATGTGTTGCGTGAGTCTGAAGAGGAATGCATAGATTGGTATCAGACACAAGGACTAATATTGGACTTATGGACTTGATCTGGACTGGGCTGGGATGTTTTCTCAATATACAATTGCTCTTTTATGTAAAACTCTTTCTTCTACACATCAGTGTCTCTGAATTTGGTTCTCTTGTCAACCCAGACTAACACAGGTAGTAACCTCTTTTCATTTTCAAGTAGAAGACTTTTCTCTCTGTCTGTGAAGCATTGGGAATCAAGAACTTTACCAAAAAGAGACAGTACACCACTGCTGATAGCCTTAGCATCAGACTCAGTTTTCTCTCTCTATTCTCGAGCCATCTGCTGTTTTTCCTGAGCACTTTCAGTCTTTTGAGATGACGACGCTCCAAGCTGACCTATGGGCTCCTATGTTTTTATAAGCAACTGAGAAAAGATTGCTTTCCTCATTGGATACTTCAACTCCTTGCTCAGTTACAGACTTCTTGCAGGCTGCCATGTCATCATAGTGTTTAGCCTTCAGCACCAGTTCATTTTTATCCAAGACTGGATGTTCTGTGTCTGAAGTGGGTGGTGGCAGACAGACGGGCCTCAGCAGTCTCTGGGCAACAGCAGCGGCACAGCTGAGACATGGTCTTGAATTCCCATAAGGGACCAGTCCCTGGAGAAGGGCATTACACTGGGAAAGTAGAGGAATAGCAAAAAGAGGAACATTCTCACAGAAAGAGACTGACAGTGGCTGGAACAAGGATAAGAATGCTCAAATACAAGAATACTTGTGAGGATGGCACAACACCAGGGGTTGAGTGAGCGGATGATCGTTGTGCTGTACATAGAGGGTTCCTATGACTGGGAACGGATACAATGGCAAGTTGATATACAAAGGGATCCTGTCTGACCTCCTCTTACTCCACAAGGGGGCAGGAGACTCATGCCCATTACCAGTCGCAGGCTGATTCCTAGGAGGGAGAGGTGAGACATGCCTCTAGCACCCAAACTTTCTACAATTTCTGACACGACACTGCTCTCCTTCCCATGGCACTCTCTACTCTGCTGGGTTCGATAATCCATTGCAAAGCCCACACAGAACTCACTGACAACACTCATAATTATGGGCTTCATTAGAGAAGCTAACAGGTTACAACTTGAGGATCAGAAATAGTAAGGATACAGTTTTTAGTCTGCAGTGACTGTGCCCTCTTGTGCCTGCAGGCAGGCCTCTCTCTGGTCCTAGTTCTTTAAGCCGGGAGGTCCCCTGGTCTCTACTCCGCTTGGGCAATGCTACAAAACTCCCTTAGTGCTGCCAATAAATGTTCAAAGGGCACTCCACTCTACCATAAGCCTCATTTCGGCAGAACTCATTTCTAGTTCAGTAGGTCAGCAAACTTAGCCCTGCCAATTAAGTGCCTGAAGGTACCTGACTCTGCAAGAGAGTCTCTTTTCTGAAAACACTCCGTTCTGCTTGCTCCTTGGGCTGGAAAGCCCATTATAGTGCCTTGTCCTTGTCCTCTGCCTCTTGATTCTGTTGCTATCATTCCTCTGGTGTCTGTCTCCTAGATGGAGGAGGTAAAGGCACTCCGACTTGCGGTCCAAAAGATAAGCTCCACTTATGCCAAGTCGTTCTTGATGGTAGTGAGAGTCCCCCATTCCTGTTTCTAAGATGGCTCATTTTGAACCCAGTGAGATGGTAAAACTGACCAATCCCTCGGTAGATTGCCATCTACTTCATCTGCATGACGCTACCTGTCATTTGGTGGGAGTTACAAAGCTAAGGACAGTAGAGCCATATCAAGTCTTCACTGCCTCACAGTGGCATTCAGTCACTAGATACTAAGCACATACTAACTAGTAGAATAACAAAATAAAAACTGTCCACAGTTTTTAATTCTAAAAATTCCTAGTGTTTTACAACCTACCCAAAATGTCGTGTTTGTCTTTGTATAAGAAATGGTGCTGAGAGGTCAAGGAGTTCCAGGTCGTCCTGGCCCGACCTCACAGGAATGACACTATGAAACTTGCTGGAGAGTTTGCAGATCTCACTGAGCATGCCTCCTGTTAAAAGACACCAAACAAACCCTTCAAGCAGCACAAATGTAAGCAACACGGCGTAGCTCTTAAGTCATTCATGAGTAACAGTAAAAGCCCAAAGGTTGCCAGGAAAAGGCCGTGAACATCATGCATACAGAGATTTCAAAAAAGAATACTTTGTAAATTTAGGATTGTGCACATCGATTAAATGTATTGACTAGAACACTGCAAAAAAAAACTATCCAGACGTCAGGAAAATACAAAAGCTTGTGAAATTCTAACAATGTTCTTGAGTTGATGAAGATTTCCCTTTTATGCCTGGAACATTTTACTTCAAATAACAAAAACGTAGAAAGTGGAGAGCGAAAGAATGATAAGATTCTCACAATTTTAATTTGAAAGAAAACTACATAAAGCAGATTAGGAAGCTGTGTGGAAGGACTTAAATAAAGATGTAATCTGAATGACAATAGCACAAAGGAACTGAGGTCTATCAGAGCAAAGATATTATACACTATTGAAATTAAATTGGTATTAACTTGAATGAGATTATTCATAAGAAATTAGTTATCATTCACAGGACAATGACTAAGAAAATAACTTTAAACAAGACCAGATGAAACATGAGGGAAATTAAAATGCTATCCTAGAAAATATCCACTTAACACCTAAAAGGTAACAAAGAAGGAATAATGGAACAGAAAGATATGTAGAAAGGAAATAGCAGAGTGGGAGATGCAAATTCTACTTTATCATTAATTACGATAAATGGACTAAGCATTCTCATCAGCGAGCCTCTAGTTCAGCTCATGATATTCAGAAATATGATAAAATTTAAAAAGCTTACATTAGAATGTAACTTTTAAACTTCCAAAACTCACTCATTGCCAATGAATCTATGTTGACTCATAGCGACCCCTGTGGGTTTCTAACACTGCAACTGTTCACAGGAGTCTAAAGCCCAGCCTTTCTCCTGTGGAGCTGCTAGTGGTTTCAGAGTGCTGACCATGCGGATCATGGCCAAGTAACCACTACATCAACAGGGTTTCTAAATATACTTCTATCGACTTCCATTAACTGTTCATGTAAGTTAAAGTGCTATAAATCTGGATTTTATTATAGATGTACTATGCTATGTATTGAAGATACCTAGGCTAGAATAAACATAACCCTATCCTTAGGAAGCTCACAGTCTAATAAGGGCACAAACTGTAAAAAGACAACTAGAACTCATGTCTAAGGAGAGAGCGCTCTGTTGGAAGTATTTACAGTGTGTAAGGAAAGCACAGAGTAACATTCACTGAAATCTGCCTTATGGATTCGAAAAGTGATTAGACATGTATATGTTCATTAGTTATTCAGTATGAATTGACCTGAGTGGATGAATAAAGGTAACTAATGAGTTTACTTTAGATGAAATAGTGGAGGAAACGTTCAGGAGACAAGAGCAATGGCGTGACAAAAGGGCTCAGAGAAACCGACAGGGAATAGGGCTCGAGGGAGGATGGTAATAGAAGAACAATAGGCAGGATTGAAGTTTATGGAAGGAGTAGCAATTAAAGACAAGGATTTTCTTTATTTAAGCTTCCTTTAGACCTTCAGGGCCAGCTTGACTTCAATACAAGAGTTCTCTAAAAGGCAGGACAGCAGGGCAGAGCCCTAAGGCAAACCTGGCATCCTCTTAGTTGTCCCCAGGACAGCTCTTCTAGGAGAACATAACAGGCCAAAGTTTTCATTTTAGGAAACACAAATAATCCTACTCCATTTGGGGTCTCTGATTTTTCCTATTTACATCTATCTCCTGGTAAAAGTAAAAATTTTGCCAATGGATTAAGATACAAAATTTCACCCACAAAGTGGCCATGTTTCAAATCATGCTAATATCTACTGTTGAGGGAAGAGAAAAGGTAAGCGCATATGATGCTAAAGCAGATGTACACAGGGATAAGCTTTATCAGAAAGCTATGGGACAAATGTTAGCTAATGCTAACATTTCCTTTCAGTGAAGAGGAGTAAAGTCATCCTGAATCACTTGGAGGTACGTCAGACGACCACTTATTACCTCCACTGGACACAGTATTTAATCTCTCGCTACCTCAATTTGCTTACCTATGAAAAACAGCGCATGGGGCTGTGGGAGGATTAAGTGAATTAAAACTAATTAGAGTAGCTTCTGGCACAGTGGAACCGCATTAAAAAAGAGCTATGCTCTTCAAAACAATACCAATGCTTACATGCGTGTGCCTTCATGATGATACATGCTTTCTAAAATGAAAAAGTGATTACTTTTAGAAATAGAAGTATGTCGGCAATAAGAAAGATCATATTTATTGCAATAAGCACATCCTGGTAGGTTTACAAACTGAAGCCAAATATTTCTCTAATACAAATGGAAGCTTTTTCTCTTTTTTCATGAATGACTATGAGGGAAGAAAAAAAATGCAAATAATGAAATTCACAATTTGGTATAAAACTCAAACAAAATGTATATAGACTATACACTGGATAAATCTTAGACCAAATTGGGAAGCAAATGCAAAAATAAGCACATTCTCTTAAAACTTTTCCTCTACTTGTTTCAACATCCCTGCTTTGATTTAGATACCAGCGGAGGCATTCATTCTATTTTTAATGGAACAACAGTGACATCCAGAGGCCAAGTTAAGAGCAACTTTACACAAGCAAAACGGCCTCTTATTATTACTCAATTTAACATTACTGTGGTTCCGACAAGATTACATGCATGCCGGATACATGCACATGCTAGATCTGTTACACACACACACACACACACACACACACACACAGGAGCTTAAACAAGTTTGTGGAAAAGTGAAATGAAAAGATAATGGAATCTAAAACTATTTTGATTTGGAATACATCAGGCTGCCTATAAAGTATATTTTGCAACTATTGAAAGCTTATGCAAAAGCAGTATTATAGTCAAATACAATAATATTCTAATAAAAAAGCCTTACCTTCTATCAAAATTAGGCACTCATTTGAAGGTGGGAGGATACCATCATTTTTCACAAAATGAATGACCACTTTTCGTTCTCCCTGCTGCTCAGTGGTCCACATGCAGGAATCATATAACGATGTATTTTGTAGTTTGGTCTCTGGGGTTTTAGTTGTGCTCTCTTGCAAAATTATGTCCAAGTCAGCATCATGTGAAACTTCTTGCCTAAGAGTATCAACAATAATAGAAAACACCCATGGTAACTAAAGAATTCAGATCTAACAAATCATCTAGCAACTTTCGACAGCCAGCCATTTTTTGGGTTAGTTATGAAAATGTTCGATTTGTAGGTTAAATGATTCCTTCCCAATAGAAAAAAAAAATTGATATTTTGTGACTAAGTATATTTGTATCATTATTACATTTCTGTGACTTCCAGTTAAATGTATGCACAGCACTGCGGCAGTCATTCTCAAATCCACAGGGCACCTAGTTTACAAATCAGTATTCCTTACAACTCCCTTTAATATGAAGTAATACTTTTATTTAAAAGTCCTGTGGATAAAGTATGACACAGCAAGTCTGATCTCCAGATACAGTATCATCTAGATCAACAGAGGCCTACATCTCTGTCCTGTCTCTGTCACCATTGTGCAACCTCCCAATACGCCTTCACCTCTCAGAAACGAATTCTTTATTTGCTTCAATGAAATGATCACAGATAATTCAACAAGCAAAAATTGGATAATAACTCAAGAATGGTATATTTTAATTCTAACTAACATTTCAAATGGAAGAACAAAACAGGCCTTTCATATTTTATTAAATGAAATTTGATGATCAAAATGTAACAATGTAATATTTATATTTTGGAGAACAATCTATTAGTATATACAGATACATATACAGGTATGCACACATAAAGTATATACACAAAAATATATTAATTTGTACATTTAGTTCCATACTGAAGCATGTTTAGAATATGAGGGGGAACCAAAAAAAAAAAACAGGATTTTTTTTCAAAGCTATGTATTTAAATTTTTTTACAAAACAACCTTATCACTTTCAAAGTATTCTTTCTCCATTACACTAAATGCATTTCTCAAATGTGTGATTCCATTCTTGAAAACATTTTTCAAACACATCTGTTTGGATGGCTGAGAGCACCTTCCTCGGGGTGTTTTCTTCCCCTCTTCTACATCGTCAAATCACTGTCCGTTCACATTGCTCTTCATTCACAGAAACAAAAAGAAGCTGCACGGAGCAAGGTCGGGGGGCTAAAGTGCATGGGACAAAAGACGCGGGTTGTTTTATGCCGAAAGCTGACACACCAAGATGGCTACGTGAGCAGATGAATTTTCATAATGGCAAAACCAGTGCCCCGTCTGCCACAATCAGGCCTTTTTTTGTCACACACTGTTATGCAATCTTGTCAGGTCTCTGAAAAGAAAGCTTGAAGAACAGTCTGACCTGGTGAAATGAACTCCAGTGCACTACGAGTCGACATTTTTGTCCATTTGGTAAGTTGACAGACGTCCAGACGATGTTTGTCATCAATTGACATTTCATCTTTTTTGAAACGAGAAAACCACTCATACACTTGAGGGTTTCCCACAGCGCAGTCCTTGTAAACTGTGTTCAACATCACAACAGTTTTTGCAGCACTTTTGCCCCAAGCAGGAAACAAAATTTTACAGCTGCACACTGCTCTCTTAAACTGCCCATCACAAAAAATGAGGCTTGATCAAAATTGATTTTATGAAAAAATTCACTGTGACCAGAGAGAACCTTCCTAGGTGATGCCACTCGGTGCACTAACTCTGAGCAAGTTGCTGGATGCTCGCCTAGTGGGGAAAAATGTGTACTATGAAGCGCCACTCCACCCAGGCAATTCTGGTTTTTGGGGGGATATCCCCTCATATATGTGGTCATTGGAAATGTACATCAATTAGTTTTCTAAAACATAAGTGCCTATGTTTGGAGGGAATTCTGTACACTTTTACCTATACTTTATATAGCAATTGATGTTTGGAATGAATACCTTGAAGGTGTTGAGAAATTCTCCGTTTCCAGAGAAGTGAAATGAAGGTTAACTATGGCAGTTGAGCAATAGAGAAAGAATGCCAACAAAGCTTTCTGGTATCACCTGGTTAGAAACTCCCCAGGACAGAACTCCTTCTATCTGGGGAATTATGTAACTAAAGGTTTACAGTTGAGAAGATTTTTTTTGGTTTGTGTAACAGAAGAGAGTTTTCTCAAATACTTCCACATTTCCCCTTTTTCATTTGTATGCATCATCCACTAGGATGAATTTCAGATGTGAATGTAATACTCTTTTTCACTTACCATTTCTAAGATAAATCAAAATGATTTACTCTCTCAGAATGCATATTTCCCATTAAGACATTTTATCATTCTTATGAGCCATAATACACAAAACCCACAATGGCTTCATTGCCAGAATTGACCTTAAGTTCTCTATATGGGCTGGCATGTGCATGAGGAGCGCAGGTGATGCAACAGGTGAGCACTCCGCAGCTAACCAAGGCTTGTGGTTTGAACCCAGCAGTGGGTCCCACAGAAGAAAACCCCTAGAGATTAGCTCACATACGATTATAGCCCAGGAAGCTCAAGGGCAGTTCTACTCGATCAAATAGGGTTGCTATGTGTCTGAATCAACCCAGCACCCCACAGCAACACACACACACACACACAATGTGAAATAAGTACTGTTGTTCTATTACAGGAAACACTTACAGTGTGTGGCATTTAGGACAAAAGAGTTTCACTGACTGGAAGAGTCTCTGTGGCTTGTATGACCTCAGTTTCGCTCGGATGCGATACTGCTGAGGAGCCTTTTGTTTCAAAACTGCACACAGTGGGGTTTTCTCCAGGTATTGATGATCTGTAAGTACTGTGAAGAGTTTTTATATAGTCAGAGGAATTTGCAAACATATGAACCAAAGATATTCAATAGAATTCGTTTAAAGTACATTAACTAGAAGGCCAGGGTTGTGTCTTTACAATATTCACCAGCATAATGTCAGGCAAGTAGTTGGTGCTTACCAAGTAGGAGCTAAATAAATGTTCAAATTCATTGTCACAGTAGTGGCAAATGGGACAGAGGAAGAGAGAGGAGATTAGTCACAATGGAAAGTAAATCAGACAAAAGTATTAGGGACAGCTGCCTGGTAAATAAGTGTAATGGGTAGCTTCTTTTGTAAAGTAGCTTCTTTTCAGCCACTTTTGGAAAGGCCTGGGGAAATTCTGGTCAGTTTTTACTGGGCCAAGTACAAAATGTTTTAATGACACGAACTTACAGCAGGAACCCTTACTCAACATGCTAGATATTACAGTTTATCATCTTCCTGTTTTAGAAAATGAAGCTCTGGCCCCAACCTTATGAATCTGAAATGATTAGGATGATTCCTTTCTATAGCTAGCCTTCACCCAGCTAAAACCCTTGTTCAATACATTTTCTCTTAAAGGAGTGAATAGCTAAGAGTTCACAGCAATTTTTTTTCTTTCTCTTTTTAAAATAAAAGACCGTAGCTAGGCAGACTGGGTCAGCTTATTGTAAAACAAGTGGAAGTAGCAAATGCTGAAAACTCATGCTAAGACATTTTATCCTTTATTGTAAAATATTTTCAACCTTAAAGAAAAATTTCCAGGAATATTACAATGGCCTCCTGTATACCCTTCGCCAAGATTGGCCAGTTGTTATGATTTTGATACATCTGACCTGTCTTCATCTCCATTTCTGTCTTTATGTACATACGATGACTGAATCCTCTGAGAATTTCCAGACAACATGCCTCTTTTCCCTGAAAACTCCAGTGTGCATTTCACAAAAGCAAGAAAGCTCACCGTCACAACTAAATGCAATTTTAAACATTAGAACTTTAACACTGATAGAATACAACCACTTATTCAACAGATATTGTTCTGATTGCTCTAATTATCCCCAAAATGTTTTTATTTACCACTTTATTTTCAGCTCCAAGATCCAATCCCAAGTGACACAGTACATTTAAAAGAGTCCACAGAGATATTAAAGCCCATGTGTCTCTTTGGACTCCTTTACCGTGGAACGGTCCTCTATTCTTACTGCTCAGAATGTTGACGCAAGTGCGGAGTCAAGGCCATTCGTTTGTGTTGTGAACCTTAACTTGAGTGTGTCTGCTCTTGCTCAAAATCAGGTCCTGTGACGTCTTTCCAACAGGAGTGCTACGTAAATGACAGTGTCCAGCACAGTGCGTGCCTTCAAGAAGCATAGGTCACTTGTGATGGTCACTCTGATGAGCTGGTGATGCAGGAATTCACCAGGTAGGTGGATGGAACAATGTCCATATCCTGTATTTCCTCAAGAGTTCTTCCACTAAGACAGGAGGAAAATCAAGGGAAATAGAGGAAAGAGCTGGGAGGGCAAAGGGCATTTATAGAGGTCTAGATAAAGACATGTACATATGCAAATATATTTCTACGAGGATGGGGAAATAGATCTATGTGCCTATATTTATAGGTTTAGTAGTAAGGTAGCAGAAGGACATTGGACCTCCACTCAAGTACTCTCAATGCAAGAATACTTTCTTCTATTAAATTGGCATTCTATGATGCTCACCTTCCCGAAACAACTGCTGAAGACAAAGCAGGTGAATAAGCAAATGTGGTGGGTGAAGAAAGCTGATGGTGCCCGGCTATCAAAAGATATAGCATCTGGGGTCTTAAAAGCTTGAAGGTAAACAAGCGGCCATCTAGCTCAGAAGCAACAAAGCCCACATGGAACAACATATCAGCCTGTGTGATCACGAGGTGTCAAAGGGATCAGTGAAGACAAATGGGTGAATAAGCAAATGTGGTGAAGAAAGCTGATGGTGCCCGGCTATCAAAAAGTATAGCATCTGGGGTCTTAAAAGTTTGAAGGTACTCAAGCGGCCATCAAGCTCAGAAGCAACAAAGCCCACACAGAAGAAGCACACCAGCCTATGTGATCACAAGGTGTCAAAGGTATCAGGTATAAGGCATCATCAGAACAAAAAAATCTTACCATAGTGAATGAGGGGGGGAGTGCGGAGTGGAGACCCAAAGCCCATTTGTAGGCCACTGAAGATGCCCTTGCAGGGGGGTCTCAGGGAGGAGATGAGTCAGACAGTGTGCGATGTAGCAAAGATGAAAAATACAACTTTCCTCTAGTTCCTAAATGCTTCCTCCCCGCCCCCACTATCATAATATGAATTCTACCTTGCAAGTCTGGCTAGACCAGAGGATGTACACTGGTACAGATAGGAACTGGAAATACAGGGAATCCAAGGCGGATGATCCCTTCAGGACCAGTGGTGTGAGTGGCGATACTGGGAGGGTAGAGGGAGAGTGGGTATGAAAGAGGGAACCAATTACAAGGAACTATATGTGACCTCCTCCCTGGGGGACAGACAACCGAAAAGGGGGTGAAGGGAGACGTCGGACAGGGCAAGATATGACAAAATAATAATTTATAAATTATCAAGGGCTCATGAGGGAAGGGGAGCGGGGAGGGAGGGGAAAATTAGGACCTAATGCCGGGGGCTTAAGTGGAGAGGAAATGTTTTGAGAATGATGAGGGCAATGAATGTCCATATGCGCTTTACACAATTGATGTATGTATGGATTGTGATAAGAGTTGTATGAGCCCCTAATAAAATGATTTTTTTTTAAAAAAGAGTTCTCCCACTAAGTCAGGACCCACTGATGATTCTTAATCAAATCAGACAGTACTACTATGTTTGCAAAATAATGACTACTCATAATTTCATTATTCCTTTTCAACAATCAGCTGTTATTCTATTAGAAAGAAGAGCATTCAGCTTCATTTATCTATTATTTGTAAATTATTAATTTGCTTATTAAGGGTGGATTCCTACTTGATTCAATGAGTTTTGATCCATTATTATTTATTTTGATGCTCAAATTGTCCCAGATTTGGCAAAGTGGGATTCCTTCCAAACTGGTATCATCTAACATATTCCATCATTAATTAGGTACTTTCTTACTTTTCATATTCACCCAGTAAATTCCTGGTCCAAACTCTGGACTCTGATTCTTCTCCACAGATTTCAGGCTTGATGCAGGGACTGTGCTATTTAGAAATGAAGATCTGTGTCCCAGGTGTGTTTGCTATACTAGGAAGCCATTGTTTCCACAATCCTTACTGGCTATTGCTAGAATACACACACACACACACTTACATCAAAATAGACACAAATTCGCCTTGTATATGTGTAGATATTTATGTGTGTAGATATATTCACAAACACAAACTTATTTGTGTTTATCTTATCTGTATCGATCTTTAAAACAAGTACATACTGGAACTTCCAATTCCAATGACACAAATAAGCTTCTTTTACTAATGGAATCAATACTGACTTATACCCATTGGAAAAAAAAAAGTCTCACAACTACTGTCGAGTTGATTCCGACCCACAGCAACCCTACAGGACAGAGTAGAACTGCCCCACTGGGTTTCCAAGGCTGTTCTCTTTACAAGAGCATAGAGCCCTATAGAAGCTTTCTTTTGTTCTGACTCACAGTGACCCTGTAGAGGATTTCTAAGGCTGTGAACCTTTACAGATAACTAAGTACATCTTTCTTCCAAGAGCAGCTGGTAGGCTTGAACCGCGGACCTTGTGGCTTAGTAACCTGGTGCTCAACCCACTCTGCCAACAGGGTCGCTAAGCTTCCTTCTTGATTCCCTTTATTATCTATCTATATTTCCTTTCATATTTAAAGAACAATGTAATATTGACTAATGTTTAACAAATCATCTAAAAACATTTTATCATAGCTAAAATAACAGTGTAAGCAAGTCAATCCGGATTCATAGCAAGTCTATAAAACAGGGCAGAAGTGCCCCTGAATTTCTGAGACTGAAACTGTTCATGGGAGTGGAAATCCCGGTCTTTCTCCCAAAGAGTGGCAGGTGCTTTTGAACTGACAACCTTGTGTATTGCAGCCCAAAAGAGGGAAGGCATCTGAGAAAGATCCTTTCATTGCCAACATTAAATTACAGCCTTGGAACCCAGAGTAAGAAATTCCTTACCCTGCTATTATGCTTGATGTATAGGGTAAGTTGAATAAAATTAATGTAATAGAAAATATTTTACACCCACAACCTAAATATAAGCCCATTGCACTACTAAAAACTATAGTACCTTTTACAATCTTTGAGTTACTTAAAACATATATTTAGTGTAAAGACTAAATTTTAGTTTTATCATATTTGAGGAGTTCCAATTTATGCCAATATATGACAAGGAAGAGGAATAAGCAAAACCAGGACATATTTTGGTCTCCTGGACAGCTGCTCTCATGATTAGACAGGGATGGACTTGTTGATGACGGTATGAACATGCTCATATTTCACGCTCTAGGCGGTCTTACTTGTAGCAGATAGCTGCTGACATCTTTCTACCTCATAGAGTGATACGGAACCAGAGCCTGCAGGAAGGAAAAGGAAAAAAGCATTACACATATATTTTCTAACTTTATTAAAAAGTCAGTGTGACAGTGAAAACTATAAAACACTGCTGAGATAAGTTAAAAAATCAATAAATGGTGAAATATGCTATGTTCATAAACTGAACCCTGTCCACTGTTAAGGAATCAATTCTCCCCCAACTTGACCAGCAGATTCAATTCTATCCCAATGAAAATTTCAGAAGCTCTGTGTAAGAAAGTGACACGTACACTCCATCCTTAAAGAGAAAAGGAGAAAACTTAGCATACAAATGTAATCATGGAGAAGAAGAATAGTCAGAAGGTAGGGTACACTGGATCACTGCTCATCGGCTCTTCTGTCCAGGGCATTGACAACTCCCATCAAATGACTGGGGGAAAAGATGCAAATAAGGTGTGTGGGACTCTGTATTAGTCTAGGTACTTTAGAGAAACAAATTCACAGTAACTCATGTATAAGAGAGCTGTATGTAAAGAAAATGTGCATCACGAAAACATCCCAACCCAATGCTGCCCAAGCCCACAAGTCCAACATTAACCCATTAACCCAACACCAGTCCACAAAGTCCTCCACCTCACAAAACAGAGGCAATGATGTCGACTGCAGGAGGAAAGCTGAGTCAGTGAACGAACAAGCATCTCAGCACTAGCAGGGGTCTCCGCACGGCTGCTCCAGCACCCAAGGCTGCATCAGGATAGGTCCATGTAGCTTCTCCTTGGGGATGTCTTGTAGGAAGTAAATCTTGCAAGCTGAAGCGGGGAACTGCTAAGGCAGCTGTACCCTGGTGCAGCCATCACAAAACAAGAGACCCGAGAACTAGAAAGGCGAGGCTCACCACCCATTTATCCCTCTGCCTTTCAATTAGCCCCACATATGTTTATCAGCCAGGTTGGCACAATTAACTAACTCAGACTCTAATACGGGGATTGGCCAGTTTTTCAATTCCACTTGGTATAAAGTGAGAGAACTCAGAAGCAGGAACTGGGGAATCACAAACAATCGGACAACAAATCGTGAGCAAAGTGCAGCTTTTGGACCCAGAGATGCCTGGGGAGACTGATTACTGGCAAGGCAGAGACAGTGAGGTAGGGCAATGGACTTCCTGGGTCATGGAATGAGCAAGTCTTCTGGCAGGAGGCGGGCTTGCTGTGTCAGGTGCCCTTTGGACTAAGAAGTGATATAAAATTTGCCTAAGCACAGCAGAGCTCAAGGAGCTGTGTGACTGGAAGGCAGAGGACCAGTGGCATGCATGCGGGCACAACTGAGAAGAGGCTCCCCTGACAGGAAAACTGCTGTTTTTGATCCTTAAACGTAACCTGTTAACATCCCTGACAAACTCCCCCCCTTCCCCCGACCCCCAGTCATGAGTATTGTCTGTGAATTCTGTGTGGCCACTACAACAGATTAGCAAACTTCGGAAGGAAGCAGAGTGCCATGGGAGGAACAATTGGCGTCAGAATAAAGTAAAGAAGATTGGCGAGAGAAGGCATGTCTGTTCTCTGATATGGAGGGCATATACTTACTATGTGCCCCCAAGATTTATCACAGAGCCATCAAGACAAACATTTGCACAAAAACTGACAAGCTGTCCAACAGAACTGAACAATGAGCCCAAAGTAAGTCCACAAATAGATGGTCATTTGACTTCAGACAAAGATATCAAAGCAATTGAAAGGAACACGGAAGCATTTTCTACAAATGCTGCTATCCCTGACCCCAACCAAACCCACTCCCACTCAGTCTCAGAAAGCAGCCTCAGCTTTCTGTTCTCCCACTGAAAAGTCAGAAAAACAGTTAGGCTGCATTAGAACCTGCTTGGCTTTGCTGTCTGCTAATGGCTGACTAATGACAGATAACTTACATGAGCCTAGCACTGAAAGCTTCCGTTTTCTTTCTGTCAAAGGAGAAACTAGTAATATCAACCACATAGGGGTGTTAGGATAACATAATAATGCATGTAGGGACTTAGAGAGAGTGCCTACGTAAAGACAAATTTTCATGTTTATCATTACTAGAGTAAATGATTTTTGTGGGGTGGGGTGTAAAAATAACATATAGTAGAGAAACATCAACTAGATCATAGTATCCAAAATGTACAAATAGATAGTAAACCAAAATATAGTAACACAAAAAAACTTGCCTATTTAGAATTGTAAAATTCATATTTGAAAAGTAACCTACTCAGGTAGTCAATAATATAGATTCATACAGAATGATATTATTCATTAATATCTTATGGTTAGGTACTTGATTAATTCAATAAAGACCAGAAGCCATATACGTATCTAATTAAAAAAAACCAACTAGATGCTTAAAATAAGCATCAAAATAACCTTTGCCTCTTTTAGCAACCAACTGATAAACAATAGTTGTCTAAGAGGAAATTAAACAGAATTTATATGTGTGTATATACAACACAAATCAAGTAATGATAGTAACCCAATTTTAAAATGCAATTGTGCATTTAAAGAATAGTCATAATAACTTGGCATAGGGCAAAAATAGAAACGGAAGATATTTTCTATTCAAATAAGCTTAGCAAAAAACAACACCTCCTCCATATCAAAGAAACAACAGAATAAAGAGTAAGACTAAGATGTAGTCAATTACTTAAAATATGGCCCTTCTAGTCATAATTCTTTCTGTGATGTATCATAAATTCTAGCTTCCATGCCTGTGGTTATAATCCTCTTTTGGATGGAGTTCTCGCTATGTTAATGAACTGAATTAAGGAGGATTAAGTATCTACCTTAGTAGAAGGTGTGAACCATGTCACCATCTTTCGTTTCCTTGGGTGTATGTTCTGCTACTGAATAAAAGTCATCTACCATCTCAGAAGCAGGAACACACTAGGAGTCGCTGGACTATCAGAAGAAGAACCACCAGTTGAGCATGCTAGAGATCTGAGTGATGGAGGTCAGGAGCAGAAGCAGCAGAGGCTTCAGTACAGAGACCACAGGGCAGAGCAAAGGAGCCAGGTGGAGACAGAGGTCGTGGAAAGGAACCCATGAAACAGAACAGAGAAGGAGGAGGGAGAATGATACTGTGAAGCAGAGCATCAGGTGAGGTTTCTGGCTAACAGAGGCAGAAGTTAAGGGACCATGGGGCTCAGAGCCTGAAGACCAGAAAGAAATGTGGCTGCTGACTGAGAAAAGGTTCTGCTGTGGACCAGTGACCATTTCCTTACTGTTTACCAATCCTGCTTGAGGTACCTTGTTAACTTCCCCAATGAACCCCATCAGTTTGAGTTTAGCCTTGGAGTCCTGTGTGGCCATTGCAACAAATTATCTAACCCAGCAGAAAAGTAGTATATGAACAATAGTTGGTGTCAGAACAAGAAAAGTAAGCTGGAGGCATGGCTGACTCTTGCCTCATGGCAATGAGGGGGCCAGATGTCAGATATGGCCTCCCTGTCACTTATGCAAACATTATAAAGGAAGACGAGCTGGGTTTGGTTTTCAGTATACTGGGTGAAACTCCATCACAAAAGGATAATCTGTGTATGTGACCACTATTGTCAAAAGGGCAGAAAATGTTTTCACACAGTATTCCTTGATGGTTACAGGGGCAAGGGAGAAGTAAGGAAGGGTAAAGTAACGGCTATCAATACAGCAAGACAAAGGTCAAAACAAAATGGAGGAGGCAAGGGAGACACTGAGTGGAGTGTAAGAATCAAGGCCACAAAGATAAATATGGATAGCTATCTAAGCTAAACTGGTGTGGAAGCATACATGGGAGTTTACCTGTGAATACACAAAAGTTTGAACAGGTTATTAAGATAATAATAATAAGAGGATTATGTTGATGTTGAAAAAACCACTTTAAACTTCTTACTTGACATGTTCTGAATGCTGTCCTCACACTGTGATACACCGACACCATCGGTTTGTTGAATGGCTGTCAAATCTACAGATTCTAAAATCCTAGAAGTAAAAGAATATAGTTTTAAATTATCCATAACACAAAGTTAATATAGTTTACTTCTACCCACAGAACAAAAAAACTCACTAGAATTGTGAACACAATTTTGGTGCCTGTACTCTTCATTTCTTTGAAGGTCTATAACTTTTACAACATTAAGAGTCTAGCAAGATACTAGTGAATGGATTCATCGTTGGGTCCTTTCGAGTTGATTTTGACTCATAAATTCATGTGATAGAGCAGAACTATATAAGTGGATATTCTAGACTGTAATCCCTCCTTATATAAAATTTCCAGGTTTTTGTCCCTTGAAGCTGCTAGGTGGGTTGGAACCATTATAGCTTCAGTTAGCAGCAGACCACTTAGTCAACTACACCACAATAGGCAGTGGAAAGATACAATCTTTCAACAACAGCAAGCTGACAATTTAGTTAATGGATGGCATTCTGAGTCAGAGCAATCTCACTACAGAGTCAAGGAAGTAAAGTAGTGTTCTGCTACATATGCAAAAGTGAGATGTGAAATTGATGAGTGTTAAAATGAAAGATTATTTAAATTGGTTTAAAAATTATATTCAGTAAATTGAAACAATAACTCATTTCAATAAACACAAACCAACACAACAGAAAAATCCACCCCATTTCCACTGACTCACAATAATCGAACAGGGTAGAGTAGAACAGCTCTCAGAGGCTTCAGAGACTATACAAGGGGAAACCCCCAAAACTGGAATTGCGCTGCGTGGAGTGGAACTTTCGTAGTACACATTTTTCCCACTAGGCAAGCATCCAGCAGCTCGCTCTGAGCTGGTGCACCCAGTGGCATCACCTGGGAAGGTTCTCTCTGGTCACAGTAAATTTTTTCCTAAGAGTAGTTTCGCTTGAACCTCGTTTTTTGTTGTTATTGTTGTTGTTGTTTTTGTAAGAGAACAGCATGTGGCTGTGAAACTCTGTTTCCTGTTTGGGAAAATGCTCAAGAAACTGTTGTGATGTTGAACATCGCTTAGAAGGACAGCGCTATGGGAAGTACTCAAATGTACGAGGTTTTCTCATTTCAAAAATGGTGAAATGTCAATTGATGACACACCTTGTTGTGGACATCTGTCAACTTCCCAAATGGATGAAAATGTTGATTTGTTGTGCATTTAGAGTTCATTCCACCAGGTCAAACTGTTAATCAAGCTTTCTATTTAAAAGCTCTGAAAAGATGGCCTAACAGTGTGCAACAAAAAAGGCCTGCATTGTGGCAGACGGGGACTGGCTTTGCCACCACAACAATTAATCTGCTCAAGCAGCCATCTCTGTGCACCAGTTTTTGGCAAAAAAACAGCATGCCTCTCTTGCCCCATGCACCTTACTCCCCTGATCTTGCTCTGTGAGACTCCTTTTTTATTTTGTGAATGCAGAGGGACATGAAAGAACAGCGATTTGATGGCATAAAAGAGGTGAAGAAAAAACAAGGGATGTTCTGTCAGCCATCCAAACAGATGAGTTTGAAAAATGTTTCCAAGAATGGAGTCTCAGATTTTACAAATGTATTAAGTGTAATGGAGAGTACTCTGAAGGTGATAAGGCTGTTTTGTAAAAAAATTTAAATACATAGCTTTGAAGGAAAAAAAAAAGTTATTTATTTTGGTGCCCCTCATACATCTTAACAGGAGCAGATAGCCTCATCTGTCTCTTGTGGAGCAGCTGGTAGGTTTGAACTGCCAAACTTGTGTTTAGCAGTCCAATGCTTAACCTACTGAGCCACTATGGCTCCTTTATCTTAATTTAGTCAAATAATATATTTTCTATATTCCTTTGCAGATACATAGATTTATTTTTTACTGGTCAAAATGTGTCTGTACACATTGCTCATTAAGAATACTTCAGGGACAAGACTGTATATACAGCAGGGTTAGGATTATGATTTGACTTTCTGGGTATATCAGAAAATCTGAAAAATGTGATACCCTAAAACACTTGTTACCTGTGTATTCTGTGCCAGGCACTTTGGGAAATTTGGAGAATGTTATGGGAATAAGGAAGAAGTATTTTGGGAATTATACATATGTATCAAGTTTTCAACACCCTTTTCCTATATAACTTAGACGGAAACTTATTTGACCTACCACCTCCTTCTCAGGGGAAAAAAAAACAAACAAACCCAAAAAACAAACTACTCAGTATTAAAATCTATTACTCACTCACCCTGTGAAACATTGACTTGGCTCTGCTACTTACTATCAGAACCAACAATTACTTAGCTCCTGTTTGATCTGGACCATCTATTAAAAATTAGAGATAACAACCCTGAAAGGTATAAGGATCAACTACAAAGAACTATCACACACCCCATCATCCCCACAACCTCCCAGGAGGAACAATATTGTCTTGAATCACACAGCATCATAAATACCCCATTGACATTCTCTCCACTGGTAGACAATCTGCTTACTTTTTCAGTTGCTCCACATCCGAGTTACTTTCCGGCAAGACTCTGATTCCTCGACCATAGCTGGTACCTCCATGGAGGTGAAACTCCAGGGCTAATAATGTTGACTGAGTCTCTGAATTCACTGATTGAAGTTTGGTATGAAGGCTATAAATCCTAAGATAGCTTCCAATCTAAAAAGAGATATTTATTTTTAAAATGGGGAAAAAAAACATTATTTCCTGAAATTAAAAATAGTTCACAACTGTTAGGCAGGCACATGGACCCATTATAAAGAACAAAGGCTACAGGGTACATCACACCAGTGTTCAAGAACTGAATATCAGCCCATGAATACAAAATCCCTCCATATCCAAGTAACCCTGGAGTCAAAGTGGGTTACGCAGTGAGCTGCTAACTGCCAGGTCAGTGGCTCGAATCCAGTATGTTACTTGGTCTTGGAAATGTACAGAGGCACTTCTACCCTGTCCTATAAGCTCGCTATCAACGGACTCAATGGCACTGAGTTCAGTTTTTTGGTTTTAGCTAATTTTTACCACTGTAAGACTTAGTTCCATTTCTGACATTATAAAATGCGAAAAAGAAATATTGCATTTTAGCAAAGATAAATGGTTTGGAAATAGTCACCTACATAAGACTTAAACCCTCTATTTGCTTAAGGTTTCACTCATTTGAACTAATTGAAGGTTTAGGTAAGTACAATCACGAAACGCCCTCAGTAGGGGAACACTAGAAATGTGTTTGTTTCATGTACTGGATGTACTTCAAAGTAACAAGCACCTCTCCATCCCACACCACAGATGCAAGGAAAACCCTCCTGAAGGGAAGCCTGTGTGCCTGCAGCTTCACAGGGAAACCAATGAAAGATTCACACCGTCAACCTGACTCGATGCGCCTACATGACCTGACTTCACTGACAAGATTCTGGAATCATTCTATTTTCGTCATGCAGTACAAATATTCTATAGTTAACCTTTGATGATTTGTTAAAAGCCCTACCCAAAAAAACATTATAGACACTTTCTTCTACTGTAAAAGTCTTCCAATGAGAAAAATGTGGAATGTTATTTTAAAAAGTTGCCATTTACCCAAAAGGAGCCAGGTAAGCTAAATCACATGTTGAGAATGTATCTATAGGGAGAAACATTTATCAGCGAGTCACCGGTTAGGACTTTACTTGCATAAAAGCTCTTGGTGGTTGGATGACTGTGGCAGCATCGCTCCTCCCTTTCTCTAGAACAGAGTAACAGTGGGGAGGCTGTGTGTTAGAGAAAAGAAGAGGGGCGACTACGGAATAAAGCAACCTTCTACTTCTGCTTATTGTCGTTCCTCTTAAATTATATTTTTTATTACCTTCTATATCTAGTAGAGGAGACACATAGGGGAATAAAAATTCTCACTCCTAGATACTAGTCCTTAATTCCCCAAGGTATTTCCTTATGCGATGATGGAGCTGTGCACAGAGGGGAGAGCATTCTGCACGTGCTGCGGCCTTGCACTTAGGACATCACATCTGAAGAGCCAGGTAGAGGCAGGCAGAGAAGGAAAACCCAAGAAGCAAGAAAAAGAGGACAAAACTCATTTTCCTCATGATTTACAAAGTAGGGTCATGGATAAAAGTAATGCAAATTCCCATTTCTACTTATTGTTCTCTGACTTTTTATATGCTTATTAGTGATTCCTTTAAAAAATATACTTAGTATATGCATACAGTATAATTATATAATCAGCAAAGACTGGGAAAAGCCCCCAAGTTGAAGAAAGTAACCACATTAAAAATAAAGTATTTGATATTTAAATATTTAATACTATAAAAAAATAATATTCCCAGAGTTAATCTTTATATTTAATTGGCTCAAAATCCCAGGATCTTTTATGGAATTTGGAAGCTGATCTTAATAGTCATATAAAAATAGGTAAGTAAATGCTGAAGAATTAAGGTGGAGGCTTTCCTTTTCAAATAGTATATGTAAATAAAAATAATTAAAATGATGTTAATTCAAAGACACATGGATCAAGGTGGATAATTACTAAACTGTCAGAGGGAAGCACCAATTACTGAATGCTCGATATACTACACACACTTTTGGATGTATGAAAAAAAATAAACCAAAAAACTAACAGCATAATAAACATGGGTGCACATGCCCACAACTGGGATAAAGAGAGGTTGAGAAACAATGAACATGAGACCATTCAAGGGCCCAAAGAAGATTTTGTCTATCCACTTTTATTAAAATAACCAGAGGAGCAGTTACCCAAGGACACTCACTGTTCAGAGGGTGAGGAAGGAAGAAGAGATGGAAACAACACACAGGAAGGAGGTAGGATAAGAGGTTCCATTGTGGGGACTGCAGTCAATGAGATGAAACAAAACGTGCCCCAGTTGCTGAAGTGAAAACCGATCTGCTTTGCAAAGCAAATATATATATATGAAATAAATATAGCAAAAACATTTGGAAATGCTAAATTTAGATGATTGTGTTTCAAAATAAAATTAGAAGTCAAGCAGAATTTATTCCTTTCAGAGACTGCAGAAAAGTGACAACAAATTGTTATATCTAGAAATTCCTTCTGGAGGCAGCATTGCATTTTTTTTTCCTTCAAATTTGGCTCAATACATTGCGAAATATGTCAGAATAGACAGATACTACTTGTTGGCAATGTCATCAGATTCCAAGGAGGGAATGAGGGAGTGATAACCAAAAACAACTTTAAATAGTTTCAGTACACAAACGCACACACATATCCAAAGAAGCAAAAAAATAAAAATCAACAATTAAGAAACCACCATCCCTTTAGGAAATACTCAAATTACTCCATATAAACTAACAAGACCACCTTCTTCAGCTCATTATTTGTAACTTCCTGTGTATGTGTCAGAGTAGCAAATCAAACTACAGCTTTTGGGCCAGTGACATCCCAAACATAATATGACCATGTGTATCCTATAATTATTTTAATTGTGTCAGGATAACACCAAGTACTTGAAAGCATGGCTTTAGAGAATTGACAAAAGGTTTGAAGTATGTCTGTACATGTATCTATGTAAAATATTTCGTAAATAGCGTGTATTTTAAAACCTGGATAAGAAAATGTTAAGAGTAATTTAGGCGTAAAAGGTATCAATGACATAAATTGTATCCAACTTTATAATTGGCATAACTCCCCTACTTACTTCCCCCAGATCTGATACAATACATAAATCTGTTGAACTAGTACCACATATTTTGGTACAAAATGCACTCTCAAGCAATTGCCTACAGTGCTGATGAACGTTCATTTCCAGCAATGACATCTGACTCTGAAAACAAACATGTGATGTCATCACACATTAAGTAAGCGTTAAAGTTATACTCGCTTACATAGAGATTTTTAAAAAATCCTTGTCATTTTTATACTGTATTGCAGATAGAGGTAAGGGCTTCAAAAAATTCCTGATTTTTCATTATCTTTTAGTTCCATCTCCCATGAACTTTTTGAAGCCCCCTGGTAATGCCATGAGAGATGCTATTTCTGGAGAATCAAAGACCACACATTTGATTTATGTGTGTGCATTTCACCCTCTAGTGGACAGGATACAAAGAGCCTACAAAGGGAGAAGAAACACCTGGGAAAAATGCACAGGACTTACTGATTCCTTCTGCAGCAGCTATGCCCAACTTTCCCCTCGTTCTGTCCAAAGCACTGAGCTCGATGCTGATCAGAATATGGACACGAAACGTGGGAACAGAGCGGGAATAGAAAATACTATGAATACACCATGGGCAAAAGAAAGCAATAAACTGTGGAAGTCAGTGTGAAGATCATGTTAACTGAGGTGAATCGAATATGTAAATTCAGGTAAGATCTCTAACTGGAAAAAAAACAATATGAACTGTATCAGTCTTATTTTTGAAAAGAACAAATCAACATTGATACAGCATTTTAGGAGGAAAAGCATCAAAATGTTTTCCATAATCAACTTTCTTTGACACAGTTGTGAACGAGTGTGTGTGTGTGTGTGTGTGTGTGATGTGTGCATGTATAACGGACAACAGGGGGCTGTGTTTAACCTAACATTGATTTGAGTTGTGTGGCCTTCTTTGTAGTACAATGAGCACTGGAAATATGTCCTTCTCAATAGGCATTTACAAAGGGAAGGTGGGCAGAACAATTCACATGTAAAAAGCTTCAGTGAGCTACTGCTGTGTCCTCCTAACTTCCTTACACAGTCCGAGAGACAGTTCAATCAAGAAAACAATTCCTTCTAATGCTAAAGAGGTCTAGCCCTAAAACAAACTGTGGATTCAAACACTGCCCTCATTTTACTAGCTACAGAATCTTGGCAATTTGCTTATTTTTCTAAGTGTCTGTTTTCTCACTTGAAAAATGGGGATGATGATGACACTTATTGCAGAAAATACCCCCAAAAACAAATCCACCACGACAGTGACCGCAACTTATAGAAAGCAACAAACCCTCTGCAATCAAGTTGATTCTCTTGGTTTCTAAGGTTGTACATCTTTAAGGGAGAAGTCTTTCCCCCCAAGAGCAGTTCGAACTCTCACACCATTGTGTCCATTCCAATTGCTATCAATCCTGGGTCAAACTGTCCCCGTGAGCGCCAAAAGCCATGTCTTTCTCCCAGAGTGGCTAGTAGTGGTTTCAAGCTGCTGACCTTGGGTTTAGCAGCTCAATGTGTAGCCCACTCACTACGTGACCAGGGCTCCTTTCCAAGCCATAGTCCTCTTGGATAGTGTTTCCCAGACAATACATATTTATGGGAGCAGGAAGCCTCATTTTCTACCAGCGAGTTTGAATAGCTGAACGTCTAACCTGTAGCTCCACCAGGGTTCTGTATTGTATAGAATAGTGCCACATAAACATGAAGTTCTGAATAAATGATACTCATTATTAATATTCATTTATGGTACCACTACTTTCTAGAACGTATACTTACAAATAAAAGATGAAACTCATGAAGAAGAAAATACCCACTAAACTTTCAGTTATCACTAGGAAAAAATAGTATATCTAAACGACAAGCTTTCATCTAAAAATCTTCTCTCAAAAACAGTGAGCAAATTCTATAAACTATAAACTTCATAAACACACACAATTTAAAATAAACATCAGAGATGCTTGAACAGTCAGTGGTTAAACTCTATCAAACCAACGAGCAGAGCTTAACGTATCCATTCACACTATTTCTATAACCTTTGTTGTTTCACGACGATGTGTGTGAGAAAAATGTTCACTATTTTTATGTCTGTAAATCTGTGCATGAATTAAGACATTCAGGAAATGTTCTTTAACTCAAGTTGTTCAATCCATTAAGAATTAAATTATCTTTTAATACACACATTTTAAAGGTTAAAGAGTAAAGAAAAACCTCTTTGAAGTAGATTTCCAGACTCTGAATATCATGTAATTCAATTACGCCCCAAATCGGTAAAAAATAGTACATATACTTGCTACTCATTATCACCTTCAGAGATTTTGCCACTCGAACATGGTTGTCGTAGACCAAAATATCTACTGCCAGATTGTGTAGGCGCTGGATGTGACTCAAATCACCTTCCAGAAGAAGGTCACGGATTAAGACCCTCCAAGATGGAAATGGGGTCCTGGTACCATCCCATACCTGCCACATGGGGACAGAACAAAGTTTAATGATCATTTTAAAAACTACTGTTGCTAAAAAAAAAAATGCGACTGTGATATACAGGTAATTAATTATATGCTAATTATCTGCAGAAATTATGTAACAAGTTTAAATTGTAAATGAGATGGGGGTTTACAATTCAGATCATCAATTTTGTATTCAACAGCTTAAACTATTAATCAACGCCTCCCAAAAGTTTACCCTTCACCCACTCCTTCATTTCCTTTTAAAAAGCTCTTATTTAATTTTTACATTCATTTCAGCATTTTATATTTAAAGTAACAGTGACATGAGAACAGATTTCACTTATCTGAGAAGGTTATCTATAAGACAGGGATGAAGGCATATGTTGTGTAGCTTTTGAGAGAAAGTACATACATTCATGTCAGATAAAAGGTGGCAGATGTTAACTCAAAGTTAAAGAATTTTCCAACGAAATTTATGTAAGAAAATTAATTTTGCTGCCCAAGAGGGGCCTTCTCACTGTCATTCTCCAGTGCGCTGTCGGAGCGCACGTTCATTTATTCAGTACGTCACACTGGGCAGAGCATACTCATCGGAAGCTCAAAGTCCTTTTAACTGTGGATGATTTTCTATTGCTTTAGCTCCCATTTTTTCATACTTGATTTAAATTATTTTATATTATGTATTACATAGATATGTGATGTTTCCAACTTCAAAAGTCCATCTTTTATTCAAAGATTCCTCTTTATTGTTATTTAAGAAGGGCAATAGGTAAACGAGGCCACCACTCGTCTTTCTTGCCCTGCGGCTCCAGTGTATCAGGGAGCAGGATTAAAAGCAGTGTTTGCTTAAATGCATCCTCCCAGCATGGGCAAATGAAGATGACACCTGACAACTGTCTTCTCCAGAAGCTACTGATGAGCTAAAGTGGGGTTGGAATAAAAAAAAGAAGACAGGTCTTACTTTACCTTCTTTATCCTGCTGATTAAAAAACAAAACAAAACATAAAAAGAACAACAAGCACAGGGAATCCAGGACAGACGACTCCTTCAGGACCAGTGGTGAGAGGGGCGATGCCTGGAGGGTGGAGGGAATGTGGGGTAGAAAGGGGGAACCGATTATAAGAATCTACGCATAGCCTCCTCCCTGGGGGATGGACAGCAGAGAAGAGGGTGGAGGGAGACATTGGACAGTGTAACTTATGACAAAACAATAATGATTTGTGAATTATGAAGGGTTCAGGAAGGAGGGGCTAGTTGGGAGGGAGGGGGAAATGAGCAGCTGATATTAAGGGCTAAAGTAGATGGCAAATATTTTGAGAATGATGAGGGCAACAAATGTACATATGTGCTTGACACAACAGATGTATGTATGGATTGTGATAAGAATTGTACTAGCCAATAAAATAAAATTAAAAAAATAACAAACAATACTTCACAAATATCCACGAAGCGGGTGGTAACGGGATGAGAGAAGAGAACCCACCGCACCAAGAAAGAGAAAGAGTGTGAAGGCAGGCAGGGCTCCCTGAGGGAGGCAGAAAGAAGCACACAGAATCTCAACACAAAGCAGCAGCAGTAAACGTCTTTCCTTAGCATCAAATGAAGAAAAACACAAACAAAGCATAAGCACCCTATACTTATATTACAGAACTTATACTCTTCTAGGAGAGAGTGGTGAAAAATGTGCAAAATTAGAGCTGTAGGTGTACCCAGGCTCACCAAACTTGTAAGCTAAAAATCAAGTCCTTAAGATAAAGTACACTTATTTATTCAAATCCTAAAATATTATCTCTTTGTAGATACATAGTTGATGCTTTCAATTTGCAAGTTCAAAATATATATCTACCTACCTTCAGAAGAAATGATGTTCCATCCACTTCTGATTTCCCCAGAAGCTGGCAAGTCAAGTCAAAATACTGCATTGGCTGCACATCACACAATTGCAGTAGTGATGAAGACGGTGGGAGGTGATTAGATGCCCAAATACGTAAGGCTTCGACCATTTTGCGGTCCCCGGTGGTGAAATTGAAATACTTGCTTGAAGTACGAGGTATAATAGGAGCACCCAAAGTCCCCTCAAAAGTCAAAGAGGCAAAGCCGGAGCTGGTGATACCCTGGGCCTCATTTTTGTACACCTGGATCTAAGAGAGCCGTGGGAGAAACCCGGCAGGCAAACAGTTCACTGATGCAACACCCAAGAGCAGAATAAAACTCAAGAAAAATTTTCCCAAAAGATTAAAAGTACTTCTTTCACTTAGCACAGTGGTTCTCAGTCTTCCTGTTGCTGTGGCCCTTTAATACCTTTAACGTTCTGGTGACCCCCAACCACAAAATTGTTTTCATTACTACTTAATAACTGTAATTTTGCTCTGTTGTGAATTGTAATGTAAATATCTGATATGCGGGATGTATTTTCATTGTTACAAATTGAACATACGGGGGCGCGACCCACAGGTTGGGAACCGCTGACTCAGCATATGGAATTATAAAATGAACTGGTGCTATTGTAACATGTACACAGAAAAATACTACAACAATTCTCATTATTTTTTTTAAACAAGCTAGGTCATGTATTCATTGATAAGATTCATTGATCTTAACCCTAATTTTAACATTTCACTTATAACCGATTTTATTAAGGTATAATCTTTATGGGAGTAGAAAGCCCCATCTGTCTCCTTGAGGTAGTTGGTGGTTTCTAACTGCCGGCCTTGCAGTTAGCTGCCCGATGCGTAACCACTACACAACCTCCCTGAAAGGTCAGGCAGAGAGGCATACCAGGTGCAGAATCTGAAGGATGCTCTCCACTCTCCCATCCCCTGCTTCTGAGACGGTTTACTTTATACCCAGCAGAACGGCAGTATCTCACAGCTGAATGATATAATACAATCAGTACAGTCCTACACTTTCTTATCCACAGCCATTAGGAAGAAGTCATTTGGTGGAGTAACAACGAATATCTAAGGCTGGAAGAGCCATAAATAATTGACAGCACTGCAACCAGAAACGGCCTGGAATTCAAACCAGATCACTTAGAATGGCAAATATCGTGGCTGATGTCAGATGGATCTTGGTTAAAAGCAGAGAATACAAACAATTGTTTACCTGTATTTTACTGACTACACAAATGTATCCAACTGTGTGGAACATAACAAATCATGGATTGCGTTACATAATTCTAGAACACTTAACTGTGCTCAGGTGGGAAATGTACATAGATTCAGAAGCCGCCTTTGAAATAAAACAAGTAAATATGGTGTGTTTTAAATTCAGGAGAGATGTGTAAGGGTGGTGACCTTTCAGAACAGTTATTCAATTTTAAGATGAGCAAAATAATCCGAGACACTGGGCGATATGAAGAAAACCGTGTCAGGACTGCAGGAAGGCTCATTAACAATGAGTTTACCTGCAGATAGGAAATTGCTTGCTGAAAATGAAGAGAACTTGAAGCAATTACTGATAAAGATCAAATCAGAATGTTTAATATGGATTAGACATCAACATACAAAAAGGAAAATCTGCACACTGGATCAATAAGAAACATATGCAGAGAAATAATTTAAGTCAAGAATTTTTCATTTTATTTGAATCCACAATTAATGCAGAAGGCAGCAGTGAAAAAAAAAGTTAAATAGCAAAGATGTCACTGTGAGGAGTAAGAAGCACCTAATCCAAGTCACAGTATTTTCTATTGTCTCGTATGCAAGCAGAGGCTGAACGTATTATAAATAAGGAAGGCCAAAGAAGACTTGATATTTGTGAGTTAGGGTGTAGATGAATAAGATGAAATATTCCATGGACCTCCAGAAGAATGAATGAGGTGTTGGAAGAATACAGTAAAACGCTCCTTAGACATGATAAGACTCCGTCTGGCATATTTTATACATGTTATCAGGAAAGACCAGTGCTGGAGAAAGGGATTGTGCTTTGTGAAGTAAAGAATCATCATAAAAAGAGGAGGGTTTTCAAAGAGATGGACTGACAACAGTGACACAAGAACGGACTGACTCAAACATAACATTAATTGTGATATCCAAGACCAGAAACTGTTGTGTTCTGCTTACAGAGGGTCATTGTAAGTCACAGCTTATTGGATGCCACCTTATAACAACAAACTAGAAACTACCATATGTCCAACACTAACACAATAAATAAATTCTGGTGTACTGGCACAATGGAATACCATCAGTGATTAAAAAAACATGATCAGCGAGCTGAATAAGTACATGTTTTTGCACGAATATCTACTTTCAATTAAAGAAGAACAATAATAAAATACATGAGGATTGCAGCGTGTATTATACAAATATGACTCTCATTGAAAATGACAGTGTGAAAGAAAAGTAAGCAACGTTTAATAGTTTGGGTAAGCTGTAATAAGATCATTATTTCTGTTTCTCTTTTCATCTTTCCATGGTTATCTTGCCATCCTTCTGCTCAGAGGAAACAGCACTAACAGTATGCTTTCTGGAACTCTCAGGTCATGGGCTTCCAGAGCAGCACATAGCCCATGAGGGGCACATGTCATCCGAAGCATCATGAATAAAAAGAGCAACCAAGATAACACAAGTCTTCATGTAAACAAGAAGAAAAGAAAAAAAGAGAAATCTTTAGTCTAAGGGCTGGAAATTATCAACGTGTTTAAAAGCTGTCAAAGGCAGACAGTGATTTCCATAAAGTCCAATAAAAGTTGCAGTGAATTAGCCATAGCCTTTGTTACTCCCAGAAAACAAGCTTCTTCTTCCTGATGGGACTAGTTAACAAGGTGGAGAAAGATCCTCTTGGATATGATTCTGCTGAATTGTGATTACCATCCTGCCAGGTATAATATGAGCCATTTCAGAAGCAAGAAGTGGGTAAATCTCACTACCAGCAAGAGAAGTCAGGAGCAGAACACGTCTTTTAGACCCAGAGCTTCCTGCACACTGAACCTTCTTGATCCAGGAGACAGCTGTGGCACTAGAGAAAAAGAAACAGCAGAACCAGAAGACAGCCCCCAAAGCAAGTGCAGCTGAGTGCTTCTGGGCAGGTGGCTGGCTTATGGAGTCGGTGCTTCAAGGCACTTAACTGGAGGAGCTGGGTTTGCTGACATAGGAAATGGAGTTGAGTGCCTCTGGGCTGAAACTTAGAGCATAATAACATGTCCTTTAAGCATTTGCTGGCAACTCTGAAAGAGCTTTGTAACACTGACTGAGCAGGGCTGAGTCCAGGCCAAGAGACTAAGGGCCAGAAAGAGGCCTCCCTGTAGATATGAGAAGAGAAAAAACTGTCCTGACTGATCAACCCTACCCAGAGCATTTCTCACCTGAACTGTATAACCTGTTAACTTCCTTAATAAACCCCATAATTGTGAGCATCATCTGTAAGTTATGTGTGGCATTTTCAAGGAATTATAGAACCCAGCTAAAAAGTAGAGGGACTGATGGAAGGAAGGTGACCTCATATCTGACCTCTGCCTGTGGCAATCCTCACTGGGAGCCAGAGGAGGTCAGATGGCCCTCACGTTGTTTTTATATCCCTGAACAACAACAAAAACGGAAGTAAAGCAATACCAGAGCCAAAGATTAGCTAGTTAGTGAAGTTGCACTTACGTTTCTTATAGCAAGTTTTAGATTTTAGGCCAGGCCAAAATCGAGTATGTCTCAATATTTTCACTCTGCTTGAACTAATAGATCAAAGAGGAAAGATGATAATCTCCCATTCTTATACATTTTGTTGCCCTTAGGATATTTTTATTCAAGCTTAATCTGGAAAATATTTTAAAGCATCAATCTAAACTTAGAAAGAAGTTGAAAAGATGAAACCTGAATCATAACAATTAATATTTTCTGAGAAGGAGCCCTGGGGCCCAGTGAGTGGTGTGTTGGCTGCTAACCAGCCCTGAAGAAGCGGCAGTTCAGAAGTGAGTAGCCACGCTGTGGGATAAACGTACCGCGTCTCCTTCTGCAGAGGTGCACAGTCTTGGGGATCCTTTGAGCAGACCTACTCTGTCTGAGGAGTTGGAATTGACTTGATGACAGTGAGTTTAATTTCTGGTTGAGGTTTGACAGGCAGTTTGGTCAAATTACCAGGTTTCCCACTATAAATTATTTAGTCTATATACATTTTTTTTCTTAACCCTCCTGAAACGTTTGATGTCATGTTCTAACAAAGCAACCATATAATTAGTGCTAACTAGATTTTAAGAACAAAGAGTTCTCTTCAAAATACAAATTTTAGACAGTATGAATTATACCTTCAGCCTGTGGAAGCGAACGATATCTCCATTTTTATAAATTATTGGGAGGGCTTCATAGTTTCCACTAAAAAGCATGCAGGTTAATTTTATATTTGTCTGGTCCACAATTGTTACCACTGAGCAATAATCTGGAAGACACAAAAATATTTTGAAGTTAGCATTACCTGATTTAGCATTTCAAGGCATTTGACAAAAAATGATTACGTTGAATTCAAAAGAAACACCTTGATCCTTCCTTCAATTAACTCTTCCAAGAGAAAACGTAGTCATTTTCTTGGCTCTTAAAATATACACTGCTAAGTTATTTTGCAAATGTCCCTCTCAAAATTTAGAAAGGTGAGAAACATTATGCGTACCCTCTGACAACTGCTCAGTTATCAGCCAGGTGTCTGACACTGTGCCAGGAGGGTTCCTTTCATAAACATCTCACAGACCGTGGTTTGCCTGAGAGGGTGATACTTGCTTGAGGTTGAGAAACAAACAAAAGCTGTTATTGCTGTGTGAGTCAGCGCCAACTTTTAGCAGCCCTGCAGACAACGAAACGAGGCGGCTGGTCCTCCCCCAACCTCACAACAGCACCCGGGCTTGAGCCCTGTTGTAGCAACTGTGTCAACTCGTCTCCTCGAGGAACTTCTTTTACTGTTGACCTTCCGGTGTGCCAGGCATGATGTCCTTCGCTAAGGACAGGTCCTGCTTGACAACATGTCTAAAGTATGAGAAACATTTGCCGCCATCATGAGATGACATAAAAAAACAAATGTGGTGCTGTGTCCATGCCAATTCACAGCCAGCCTACGTCCTGCAGTGCGGCACTGGTCTCAAGAGGGTCTTCAAGATGAGGGCCATGAGAAAGGCAGACCTCCAAGCCTTTCTTCCAGGCAGTGCTGGACGGATTTGAACCACCGTTTCGGTTAACAGCTATATACGCCGCTGTTGGTGTCACCCAGGAACTGCTATACTGCACAGAGATCCCATGAACATGACTAATAAAATTTAGGATTTCAGTATATGTGAAATACAAATAAAAATTCAAAGAAAACTATGTCATAACAAAAAGCTCAAATGAAAAAATAACGTGAACTCTTGCTAATTATCTACAAACGGTTATACAGTAAGATATCATAACATTTAAACTGGTAAAGACCTTTATAATGATACTTGGGTTACCATGCAAACAACTCCTTTAAAGAGTAGCATCCTCTGCACGTCTGCCCTGGATCCTAGGGCACCTATGGTATGGAGGCAGAAAAGAACAAACAGAAAGAAGAGGAGGGATAGAAGACATCTACATATTTCAGGAGGCCAGGAGAGAAAAGGGTGAAGGAACAGAGCACAAGATGCTCTAATGTGGCTATCGTGAGGGCTAGAGCCACTGAGAGCAAGGATGGAAGGGAAAAGTGGGCCAATACATGTACAAATGCTGCCAAGATCACCCATCCCCCTGAGGATGACATCAGGCAGCCAGGCACAGCATCTTCGTATCTCACACTACCCCATCCCTGACCACAGGGCCTTTTCCAAGGAAACTGAATAGTTGAGGGAAAACTAGCAGCATTTTTTGGAAGGGCAGAAATAAAATCGAAGCTTCCAAGCTTTGGAAAACCTCTATGTGCCATGATAGCCTGACAGCTTCCCAACACTTAGGCTTTTCTCTTGAGAGCTCTTGACATTAATAGATGTGAATTTTTGCTAATGGTATTCTTTGTGGTATACGATAAAATGTGTCAGCATTTAAATGACCTGTATAACTCAGGAAAATCAGTGTTTTTCCAAAGGAAAATTACTCGAAGTGCAAGATGGATCTAAGGATTTTAATTCAATACAGTACGACCTAGTGCATTGTTAAAGTTTCAGACTTATTACTGCAGCCAACCTCTCAGAAACTCACGCATGCTGGGTTTTAGGAACCCTATTACAGTTGCTAAGGAAAGGCCATCAGTTCAAATCCACCAGACAGTCCAGAAAAGATGGGTTCTGACCCCCACTCCTGGTACCATAATGTGTTAATCTAGGTAAACTAGAGAAACAAATCCACAGAAACTCATATATGTATAAGAGTTTTATATATAGGGTAACTGTACATTCCGAAAGCATCCCAACCTAGTCTAAAAGTCTGACTTAGCCCATATGTCCCAGAGTGATCTACAAAGTCCTCCTCAACTCACAAAACACACACAATGACACGGAATGCAGGAGGATAACAGGCCGGTGAGTAGAAAGTCTTTGAATCCAGTGGCATTGTAAGTATCTTAGCATTGGCAGGGGTCTCCACACGGCTGCTCCACCACCCAGGCATCAGGGTAGGTCCATGTGACTTCTCCTCAGGGATGACTTGCAGGAAGCGAGCCTTGCTAGCTGAAGCAGAGAACTGGCTAAGGCAGCTGCACCCTGGTCCGACCATCAGAGAGCAAGAGACCCGAGAAATAGGAAGGTGAGGCTCATCGAACCATTTATCTCTCTGCCCTTCAATTAATCCCACATGCGTTTATCAACCAGGTTGGCACAATAAACCTTAACTATGATTTACAACCTTGGAAACCCTACAACTGTGTCCTATTGAGTTACTAGGAGCCAGAACCGACTCGATGGCAATGGGTTTGCTGGGTTTCGGTGCTGTATCAAAGAATATACAAAATTATTTTCGGTGCTGTATCAAAGAATATACAAAATATACATATCATCTGAAAAGATTATGAGAGAAATTTCTCCTATTCCAATTAAATATCTGTGTGAGGCCAGAATGTCTGTATACTTTATATACTTCAACCTATGCAACTTGCCATGGCGGGTTAAGAGCTCAACAGAGAACTTGCCACCTTCTATTGCTCCAGACATTACAGAGAAGTAAAAAACTATCAGTATCATTCATGTCACATTGTATTCTTTTGTAACATAGCACTATAAATTACTCCTAAAAAGCAAACTCCCTGCCATGGAGTCAATTCCAACTCCCAGAGCCTGTAAACTGAAAACTGGCTCTCTGTGCTTACGAGACTTTTGCTTTTTTTTGGCCCCAAAACAATTTGATTAGGAGCTAATCCAGACATCATAGCATCGCATAGTTCAATCACATCAAACAGTACTGTACAATTGTTACCTCAGTTTCAAAGCACTTCCTTCTGTTTTGAACTCCTTGATACCAGCTCCCCTCCCCGCCCCAACCTCCCCCACTGTATCCCCAGGCACCCTTATTCTAATTGTTGTCCCCCTAGGTTCATCAATCCTGGGTGTCATATAAATGAAAACTAGGAAAACACATAATGAAGATTCTAGAAGGCTACCCACAATGACAAAGTACATTAAGAGATAAACCCCAATTGACAAAATTATAAACCACAGAAAATATTGAAAACCAGATGGAGCTAAAAGTGTATCAGAGGGCAGATGATCAAGTGTCAAGGTTTTAACCGCTCAAGTCAGGTTAGTCACTTCAATCTACTACTGTCATCTCTCCAATGCTCTGTTTGGTATCCCCATCCCTCATTACGGCTAGGGGGAAATCACTGTAGGCTTATTTCCTGGGCAGATTTCGCAAATGGATTTTGGGCTTCCGCTGTCATCCATAGCCTTGTGCACATCAGACTTAGACACTTTTAGCTCTGATAATATTCCCTCCTTCAGCTCTGGATTATATAACTTATAATCTAACTCCTTACAAGAGCAGAAATCCTCATATTCCTCCCCCAGCGAGCTGGTGATTCTGAACTGCTGACTTTGCAACTAGCAGCCGGCATTCTAACCCACTGTACCACTGGGGCTCCTTGTATGACACAAAGGGACTTTTTAAGTTTTTTGGAAAATTGCAGTATCTTTCAATTCCATTTTTACACGAACTCTTTGAAACCTTATCCTATAAAACTTAACACTTATATGGTGGGAAGCGGCTATTCAAGACTAAAGTTCCCGTTGTCTTGACACATTCTCTTCAACAGTTCTTGTATCTCTACCAACCCCACATACT